CCTAGTTCTAAGAAATTGCTTAAATAAATTATTTTATACAGTTCAAATAATTTAACAAAAATAAGATATTTAAATTCAATGTCCACATTTTGGGATATTACTGTTTCTTATTATACTACTTATACTACTGTCCTTTGATTGCAATATTTTACCTAGCTAAAAATGCGTTAAAAATATTTGTTGATGTATGGTATGAAGTTTTGAATCTAATCTGGTATTTTTGGAATATAATCCATGACTTATATCAGAATATTGTATAGATTATCAGTATATGCATGAGTTTTCAAATTTTTTTTCAAATGTTTCCAATTATTTACAACTCTTTAATACACCCACCAAATTTTTGTCTGAGATAGTTGCCCCAAAAAACCTATTGTGTACATAGTAGGTATGTGAGCTTTTTAAAATTTGCCCTATTGTCCAAATAGTTGTTGATTTTTGCCCTAAAATTATATAGGTAGGTAAATATTTAGCATCTTTTGTCCTTTTTTTACCAGTCCGTGCTTGTTTATGTTTATCTATTTTTAGCGAAACATTGATATTTTTATTCAGAGTTCAGCTTACCGACCATCAATCATCGATTATTATTATTTAATAATTAAACAATTATACACGTAACGTTTATAATAAAATTATCAAGTGTTGTGTACAAAATTGGTCATAATAGACTATTTTTATTTGTTGTGTACAAATATTCACCGGTTACGAGTGACTGATCAGATTGAGATAATAGTGTCGCGGTTCAACCGCTAAAAGATAATGCAACCATACAAGGTTTTTTAAACGCAATTTAAACATAAACAAAAATATATAAAATAAATTATTATCGATTTTTATATCGTACGGTCGTGATTCGTGACGAATTTAGTCACTTCGTACTAATTTCCTATTAATAAAAAATAACACGAATAAATAGATATAATTAGGTACCTGTTATTTATTACCGAGTAATAATTATTACAAGTGTAAAAGTGTAAACAGTTGTAGCATTGATTAAACATAATTTATATCGATTAAAATATATTTAATCAATATGGCTGTAGGTACCGATGTTAATTATTAATAAGTGGCACGGCATCAGTGTATCGCGTGAAACACGTCGGCATTTATATTAATATTATGTTTATTTTATTATGTTCAATTATAATATATGTTGACTGTCTATAGTAAAACAGTAACACGGTATCCAACGAGAGGTACGACGTGTGTCAAGATGATAATACGATGACAATTTATTGGCAAATTGATCAAATCGCCGGCAGGAAAACTCTCTAGGGTGGCACCATTCATTTTAAATCGATGTTTTTTAATGATAATATGCGTTTTGGGAATTCGGCGTTTTTTATCACGTTAGTCCGCGATCTATAGCACGACACTGTTTGACGTGGCTCATCTATTTGTGACAGTTTCGACAGTATTCCAAAAACGCGGCGGTTGAAACCACTACGCAGGTGCGTTTGAAAAACAATTTTTTAAGGTTGTACACTGTTATACTCGTATAACAAAGAAGTTTACATACTTTCAATCAAAAAATTTTTTTTTATTTTTCAATGTCAATATTTTATAACATTCGATTTTAATTTTTTAGGTATACCTATTACTAAATTTTACATTTAATATTTTTTTTTTTAGTGAATATAGTCTAAATGATAATCTAATTCATATTATTGTGATGATAATGAGTAAAAATATCGCTGTGTCAGTTATAATTTTCTAAAAACAGGAAAATCACAAAAATTACAATAATAACAATCTACTATAATAAAATAAAACTAAAATTGCATTTGTCTTCCTCATTGACAGAAGCCACTTTTAAAAAAAAAATTACTCTTATTACAATTTTCATGCAATTTTGGGATGGGGGGCTCGAACTCGTAAACCTCCCTCCCCTTGTACACGCGCCTGCCGCTACGTGTGGCACAACCCTGACGTGTTTATGTGTTTTTTTTTGTGATTTATAATATTATATTAATTTAAACGTGTTAATTTAAATGAGTTATGGTAGAAAACGTTTAAGTAGTTCTGCTTATAAAAAAGTTCAGGTAGTTGCGCACGTTAAGTGGCCTACACGTTAATTCTACGGCGTTTACTTTGTTTATTCAAATAATTAAAATATTCTTAAAAAAACGTCACAAGAATATAATATTTTTTGTCAATGTCTAATGCCCGAAAATCATACTGCAAGAACAATAATAATAATAAACAATGGATAAATTAAATTAATATTTATACGTAATGATGAATTATTGATGACGAAACACGATTTTGATCGAAATTCAGTAAAACATTATTTTGAAATTATTTCATAATTTCTATGATTTTCATTAAAATTTGAACGTACAATTTTAAAATTAAAAAAAAAAACTGCTACAATACGCTCAACCTTTTTTTTTAACACCAAATAAAACTCATTTTATACCTCGAGTTAAATTTTTGAGTATTTTGGATCAGTCGAAAAATTATATTCACACAAAAACAAATAAAAATGAAAAAAAACTTGATAATTTCGAATGTTTATAAATAAAAACTCTCAAATACTGCCGGAATGTTTTGAACATTTTACTACGTCTAGAAAAAACTGCTGTAAGTACCCATCTATTCTGTACAAATTTTAGTTTTCGACGATAATTTGAAATAAATTACTAAAAAAAAACAAATAAATAAGTGGATATCGTTATTATGTACATTACGTCACTTTTTTTTAAGGTTTTTCTAAGTCATTAAAATAATTCCAAGGAAAATTAAAAATTATCTCCTTAAGGCATCAACTAGACAAAATTTTCGACCAATCGGATTAGTATTTCTGCTATAATAAATTTATTGTAGACCAACAATAAAAGTACACACATCATATATACTATATAGGTAATAAATCTATTGGTTAATAAAGTTAAAATTTAGTTAATCGTAGATGCCAGAAAATTTTACCGAATAATTATATAGGGTGTCCCTCGAATATACCCATTGCAATATCTCCTGAGATAATAATAATCAAATTCTGTTTTTTTTATTTTTATTACTCGTAGAGATAAGGACTACACATATTTATATTTCAATTTATTTTGTATGTTTTGGTAAAAAACTTATAAAAAAAAAAATTGATTTTATTATTTTTTTAAAATAATTGAAGATAACCATTTTAGAGAATTTATATTGTTCCAAATATTTTGAACTATCGACTTTTTATTTTCGTTAAATTCGTGATTTTTAATAATTTTTCAAAGTTCAGAGAAAAGTGCTTATAATTATACAAAAGTCTGTAATCGTATTCGCTAATTAATTATTATCATTTTAGCTTATTGACTGTATAATTTTAGATTCCGAGTATAGCGAGGGGCTACTGATTTTATTAAGATGTTTATTTTTTTTCTTCTTTTAGTCTGTGGACACGTTTTTTCCCAGTAAACTTACTCCAAGTTTTACATGTAGCAACATTTCTGAAAGTTCAAGTTGTTTTTAATTTTCAACGACATTTTTTAAGTAAAAGCATTTATGTGGGAAAAAAACGCAGAAAAACGTACAATTTCACAATTTCATTGTTTTATAAAAACATGGACGACGTTTTCCACTAGAAAAAATAATTTAATCGCTAATTCTATAAATTAGCACTTTATGGTCGTGGTATAATTTTTCAAAACATTCTGGAGTTTATCGAATTATTTTCGGTTTTGTTCAGATAAAAATTATTTAAATTATTCTTATCAATAATTTAAGTTCAAATAAATGTTAAAATTATTAAATTCACTATCAATTATTGTGTATTTATTTTGTAGATACAAATTAATACAAATTGCAATTTATCAAAATTGATTTAATTATATACTTCGCTCAGAATAGTTTTTCGTTTGCAATGGTTTAATCAATGTGTTCAGATATAAATTAAATGGCCCCGTTTTTTTATCTTTCCACCATCTCATTTACAACAGCTTAGATGCAGAGTGAATTAGTTTTTACTATCGGTAATAATCGACTGAGGACGAACCCGGACGTTGCACAGCGATCGATTTCCCATCGGATATTTAACCTCTTCCAATCATCGGGTTTTTCCCCATAATTATCCGTTATAGTTTTTCATTAACTAAGTTTGAGATATAGCAGAGACTGTAACTGTATCAGCTACATTAACTATAGGTTTAGACCAACGAAAATAGTACCAACCCAGTCAGATTTTTTTTCAGAAAAAGTACTACGCTTGAAAATCGGAGCAAAATTTTGGGTAGAAAAGTAGTTCACAGAAAAAAAAAAATTAAATAGACGTCATTGTAAAACCAATACATCCTTCGTTTTACTTAGAATCTCAAAGTTAATACCTTTGGCTGAATACTTTTTTTAATCTCTAAACATAATTTGCCCCACACATGACTATACGCCTATTAGTCAGTTGCTTATATTTCTTTCCTTGCTAAATTTTTATCTGGTCACTTTGACCTTATTAGCCGGTTTCAACTTTAGAATGCCTTCCTGTCAACTTAGAAATTCTACTCCCTTCTACTTACCTCCCTCCGCCACTATTTATCGAATTCTCCTCTTAACCGTCTAATGCGTTTGACCGATGAGGACCCTAACTTTGGCTACTGACCCCTCTTAATTATCTTCAATATTTACACCTGTAATCTTAGAGATTGTTTTATATATACTTGTTCGTCTATGTTTTGGGCAACCCAACCCGTTTTCTAAATAAATAAGTAAATAAATACTACTTATGATGAACCTCGTGTTGATTTTGGAAGCATTTCTATTAGGCCAAAACAGTTTTATCCACATAAAACCAAATAAAAACTAAAAAAATATCAAATGTTTTTAAATAAAATAAACAGGTAACTTGAGTATTCTGTGAAACGTGTCCATTTCTGTGGTCAATCGATCGCAAATGTTCTCTTGCGAACAACAATGTTATATAGGTGTGCTCAATCGATGGTAGCCATCCATTTACCGATGTTCAACTGCAGTTGCGACCGAAAAGGTAGATAAAAGAAAAAATTAAAAAAACAACGCGCTCATTGATTTCACGTAGGTAGTTTATTTTTTATACAGAGACACGTTTTATTTATTTTTTTTTTTTACATAAAATTCATACGACGACGGGTAGGTAGGTACAATATATACGAGGGAAAATAAATAAGTCATATTATTATAATAATATTTACAGGACACAGCTAAGATTTACACGAATACATAATAATATAATACGAGTCAATTAAATAAAGATAACAACGCGTCCGACAATAATAATATAGTATTATAATAATAATAATATATAGGTACGACACATAAATAGGTATATTATAATCGGGCACTAAATTAATAATATTAGGGGAAATATTGGACCGTAGACCAATAATGTTATAATATATTATATATAGGTAATAATTGGCTCGGGGGAATAAATAAATGTACATTTATACAAAATCGATAAATATTATAAATGACAATCACACCGTTAAACGCATAATAACATTATAATGTAAAAAAAAAAAATACCTAATTACGATTATCGGATGAAAACCGTTGGCGTGTGTTTTGTGTCAGGCGCGTCGGAGGTCGGGATGGCCCGGTGATTGAATAAAGAAAAAAAAAAACGCACAAACAAAATAATTTATTATGATAAATAATAATAACGATACCGTGGTCGGTTATTGCGGTTATAGGTCATATTAAGTTAGGTTTAACTTTCGCCGGCGTACATACGCGAGACGATAACGGCGTGGGTACTTGCGCGATACCTATATTATTGTTCGTTGTGTAGACGCGGGGAGTAAAAGTCAATCGCGGCGCGCTTTTTATTTCGTTTCTGTCGATTGTTTTCCCGCGCGATCGACGGTTGTAGAAACGGCTTTTGCGACCCGGCCCTATTCCCGGCGGCCCGGGCGTGATAGACGAAACGGAAAAACTTCACCGCTCTTCTCGGCGCAGGCGCGAATATTGTATGAAAAATATATCCGCGTTTAAAAACCTCGGAAGTAGAAAGTACAATAAGCGCGGGAAAGAAAAGAAAAACATTTTTTTTTTTTGCCGCTTATCGTTTTTTGTGCACGGGCCGGGCTCCTCCGAACATCGTCGTGCATAACCGTGCACCGGTTATTTATATTAACCGCGCCGCAACAACAAAAACAACAACAATATAATATGACCGATATGAATATCCGTCGTATTATATTATATATTTCGTAAATGTCCGAACAGAACTCCGGGGGCTTAGTTCGTGTCCATCCATCCGGCCGGTATCACGTAGTCGGATATGGCGTACAGCATCCGGGGGTACCAGTGTATGCCATCGACGGGCTGTACCGCGTCCGGGTCGGGATCGACGTCAGTCGCTGCCGCCGAGTCGGCCAGCGGATGGCCCAGCCGCCAGACGAAGCCGCGCAGGGATGCCCGGACCGCGGCCACCAAACGGGTCGGCAGGAAGGTGAGATGGGCCAGCCAGTGGCTGTCGATGACCGCGTAACAGGACGCGACCACGTCGTCCACTACCAGGGTACCGTCGACGGTCAACGGCGCGTACAAGCCGTTTCGTTGGGTGTGCCGGACGGCCACAACGCGCTCCGTGTTCAACCGTCGCGGCCGGCCGTCGTTGTCGCGAACCACCGTCAGCAACGTGTCGTTGACGCGCACCCGTTTCGCGTACACCGGGTTGGCGTTACGGATCTGCGACCGCTCCGGTTTCTCCCACCGGAGTACCAGGTGCGTGGGTGTGGCCGTTATCGACTTGCCCGTGTCCGTCACCAGCGTGACGTATTCAGTGCGGGCCGTTTCGCTCCGGTCCAGAAACAACAGCACCTTGCTGGGCCGGAGCTGTCCGTCGTCGGATAACGCCAGCACCGATTCGCCGACCCGCAAGTTCTTCATCAGCTTCTTCTCACCCGTGCCCGTGGTCACCACGCTTTCGCCCGGGAAACAGCCCATCGTCCTCGTATTGATTTTCGTCTCTGTAAAAAAAAAAAAAAATATCACCAATTAGTATATTGTACGGAAAGCGGATCTAAATTCAAACAAATGTTTTATATCTTATATAATTAAAAAAAAACTTAAAATAGGTATACGTTGTTCAAAAAAAAAAAATAATAAAAACTGGTGCCGATAGTACACACTCAGAGAACTCTAACAAACCATTTAAGTGAAACAAGTTTTACTGTTTATAGAACAGTTTTTTTTTTCAGATTTTTATTTATCTACTGATTTTATCATAATATATTTTAAAAGGCGAATTCGATAATATATACTTAAGTAATTTAAGTTTGGAAAAAAATGTCAAAACAACTGTTCCATAAACGTTTAGTTCAACTTCTCGTGTTAGTTTTGGAAAAACAAGTTTATACTGTGCTAAACTACTGTATGAAGTATGTATAAGTCTACTGAGAAATAATCAAATGAAACTTCACTATTAAAGAAAGATTATAAATATTATTCATAAGGTACCAAAGAAATTACAAAGCTAAAATAGGTAATTTTTGGGCAACAGGAATGGAAAAATTCGCGAGACGTATAAGTAAAACGTCTATATATAAATAGGGAAGGGCCAACCGGAAAATAACTTCCGCGGTATCCCGGCGAGCCTGTACGCGCCTGCAGGGCCTGAACACTATTATAAGTACGAAAACACATTATATTTTACCCGTTATAGATTGGCTAATACGGTAAATACTCGTTCGTTGCTTTCATATATTTTTACATCCCGTAGGTTGGTCTCGCCTTTTTTTTAAGTTCCTCAATGTTTTTGCATTAATTTTAACTTGTTTTGTGTTATAAGAGTTTTGAGGATGTCCCGCAATTCTCTTTCCTTCTATAATTATATCATGCAACCCGTCTGGGTGTCTCATGCCTTGGCCCTCCATTGCCCATCGCTTTGTTCTAATCGCATCCATGAATGTACGTTTTTCTTTTACAGTTCTAAGCAAAAGCGTGCGCACGAGGTATGCAGGATTTCAGGATGCATATCCTGCATACCCTGTATATACAGCTGCATATATAGTCTGCAGCTTCATGAAGAAGTCCAAAATTCTCCATTATACCACATACTTATAAACTTGAACGTTTGTACAATAATTGCTATTCATTTAATATAGATCACATTACATCGTAACATAATCGACCGTGATTAAACTAAATATTTTCGTGAAGGGTCTCAATTATATTTGATTATAATTTGGGGAGGGCCGTTTTCTAGTTCTAATTTTATAATTCGTGGAAAAAATCTGCGCACGCCTTTGGTTCTAAGTATGTACTTCAATGCTTATTTTCCTTCCTACACAATACTTAACCACATTTCATACATAACGTTTTAACTGGTCTCTATGCGTCGGTATATTATAATGTAGGTATGCCTATCTATTTTTATTAAAATAAGTCCGGCAAAAACAGTTTCTTGTATGAAAACAAAAAAAATCCCCTCGAATGACGCTCCGGCCCCGAAATCGGTCCAATAATAAGTTTACTACTACTGTTACTACTGTCGAAGGCCTAAGTGCGGCGGAGTAATAGCCGCTGCAGCCTGCAGGTACTTATACCAGTGGCGCGAGAGCTGCCGCTGCGGCGATATTAAAATTATTTGCGGTGTGGTTTGAACGCGGCTAATTGCCCGGACGGTTAGCGCGCGCGGCAAATTAGCGCGATAATAATTATCCGGACGCGTTAAAAATATAATGGTACCCGCGGTGTTACGGGTAATGATAATATTATATACGTATATTATTTGTATTTGACTGCGTACAGCTCGCCCGACGCGGCGCAATATTTTATGTTGTATTGAGGACGACCGTTGCGCGCCGGGGACGAGTCGCGCGCGCTGAGAGATCGTAGCCGCTGATTTGTCTCGGTTTTTAAACGCCATTAGACGAGTTGAAAAAAAAAAAAAGAAAAAGAGAAGAGGAGAGAAAAAAAAACGAGTAATAATAATAAAATAAACGACTCCGGCGGCGGTGGTACACTGTTTGTTTGTTCGGTAATATTGTATAATATTATCTCCTGCGCGTTTATTTCAACTGCCGTCGTGCGACCGCGATAAATTAGTTAATGAGATAAAAAGGGCAATAATTCTTGTCGTTCTCCCTTGCCCTCTCCCCCCCCTCAACCACTGATCGCGTCGAGCTCTCGCGCCGCACACGGTCGTCGGCGGTGGGCGACCGTATTATAGTTACACGGCGGCTATTATAACAGTCGCGCAACAAATCTGTGATCTAATCGGCGGCGGCCGCCGCCGCAGCGGGTGAAAAAATAGGTATAGCCGATGCCTAATAATAATAATAATAATAATTGTATATTATAATAACGTTCGGATTTCCGAAAAACCGGATTTGTCGAGTCCGTGTTGTGCCGCCGTTGATCGGGTGATCGCGGGGGTATTGAGTGGGGAGGGGAGGGAGAAAGGAGGAGCACCGAAAATCACGTTACTATAAGAGGCCGTGCGACAGCTACGATATTATAGGTACACAGTGGCCGTTCGTCTCGTTCCAACGGGCGATATAATGTGTGCGGCCAGCGTTGTTTTCGTAAAAAATACAAAAAAAAAAAAAACTTTAGGGCGCACGTTCGTTTATGACGAATATTGCGTTATTAATACAAGTGCAAATCCATAATCAGATTGAACCGTTCAAAAAACCCCGGGTCGCTTCGCTCGCGACAAACTATATTCTTGAGAGGCCAAGTACCTACTATAAAATATGTAAATTCACAAATCCGTAAACTTTAAGGAAATAATTTTATTTTTTTATTACCCAGTTCTGTACGGTTTCTTAAGTATTAAAAACTACTGCACGATTCGGATTTAGCTCTTAAAAAATTCTTTAAAGTAATTCGCTTTGTATCAAATCGGACCTTGTAAAATGTGTGAACTCGCATTAATTGTCTTTAAAATAATAAACAATACTTCTAAAAAAATGCCTATACGTAGGTTCACGTATAACACTCATAGCCCGGGATTTGTGACTTGTTCAAGAAGTATAATATAATAAGAGCATAATATTTCAAGTCGAAAAAAAATGTGTTTCGTGCTGCCAATTTGGATTCTAATTAAAATTATTTTTTCATATTATTTCTTCTATACATGCAAATGTTAAGATTTTTCGGTTTTTACTGTGTATTTTTTTTAAAATATTTACAATTTATACTGCATACACGAACAATTATTTTGGTTCTGTCTGGAGACTGATTACATGACACCTAAACCAATAATCCAACCTAACCCAACAATAAGGATCCCAGATCGCGTTTGCTTGGCCTAAATTTGGTTAAGTGTGGACATGCCATTTTAATACATTTTTATAATATAACAACGATTTTGACACGATTGCAGTTTTTACTATAGGTAGCCAAACCAACTGCACGTTCATGCATTTATTGCACTTCAATACTAATTAATACTATTATATAGTACTGTAATATTAATACTATTAATAGTGACATATAATAACGATGCGATAGGGTTCGCGATTCTGATTAATGTGGAAACCGTCGGCATTCATCCCAATACTCGCGATCATTATCCCTGTACGCGTGCTGTGCGTGCAGTTAACTATGTTATCTATAACCTCCTATATGCGTGCGTGCCCTCATAGGTTAGATACCTATAATAATATATTGTTGTACAAAAATATTGGTCAAATACGCTCGTATACTGCACAGCAATTTACAAACTTGCGGTTCACCCGTTTCAAAATTCGGTTGATGATGGTTGATCGTTCGATTACGGATGAACTATTGAGTCCGAGATCAGAAGGATGGAGTTCGGAAGGTATAGATACTTGATGATACAAGGTAATTTAGTTGATGTATAAAAGCAACGATCAATCATTCCAAACAAAAATCGGTTCTGACGGAAACTCGGTTAATTGCAGTTGGAGTTATTAGTTTAGAAAAACTGTGGAGAATTTAAAAATTAAAGGTCACCGAAAAATTGATATCTATTTTATGGTATGATACTCAAATAATCTGGAGCGTTTAACCGAAAAAGTGTTTTCCGAGAAAAAAGAAACTAATATACCTTCTTCGCTACACTCGGAATCTAAAACGAATCCCTTTGAAATGTCAATTTCAGTTTATTATTATACCGACGTAATTACGACACTAGGCGAGTGAGGATAGGATATTAATAATGTTTGTTTTAATTATTATTTTTTTATAAAACCGCTTTTCCACTAGGTTACGTACATATCAGAGAATTTGGAGTAATTATATACAATATTATCATATTCATGTTATTATACGGACACGCGTGACATAATAATATTATATATAGTCGTTTAATTATAGCTATATATACATATATTTAGAAAAAAAAATCAAATCGAGACGATATTATTATGTGTACACATACCGAATAAAATAGTTATTGCTCCAATATTATTACTATCATTGATTAATAGTTTATGTTATATTATATTACCTCGAATAGTGTATGATTATAATATTATCAATAATTTGTCATTATAATAGTGGACAACTGCATATGATTATGGCTCATAGACACGTGAAATAGATCAGGATAGACGGCTGTTTTACATGACGTAATCACTAATCAGAGCTGATCAAACGAAAGGGAATGGAATGGACTTAGGGTTATATATTTATAGAAAATAAAATAATAATTATTGTTAACCAATGTTTTAAAAAAAAAAAATCAGCCTAGACTCCCCCCACAAATGATGAAATATCATTTGACCGTCACTGCTATGATACATCGAAGACAACATGTGCGAGAGAAACAGACAAAATAAATAAGGTTTTTCATGACAAAAACATTTTTAAATAGTTTTTTTTTCTGTGATAATTATATGCAAAAATTATACTGAATTTCATAGACTCGACTATAAAAAAAAAAAAAACTCCGCCGATTTGTCATGAAGTCATGACGATTACGCATTGTCAAATTTACAAATTACGAGCCATGATATTATCACTGTTTTACTGATCTGAATAAATTATTACTATTTTTACAATATACGTTTAGACGGTCTTTGGTAAAACCCCAAGTACGTTGCTGTTCATCATTGTATCATTCCTGGTCTACTCGTGTTTCGTCTATGAATCAATGATAATACGTTTATATATATTATAAAATATACAGCCAGTGGCGTAGCCAGAATTTCTTGGGGGAGAACAAGTCCGAAATTACAAATTTATTTGTTAATGCCTTTATAAATGCATTTATTACTCAGGCACTTAATCTTTAATGAAATATGAAAAAACAACATACACGATGATATTGTAAAGTGACGAAAATATGAAAAATAATAAAAAATAGTGGGAAGGGGAGAGGAAGGCAACGCCACTAAACGCAGCAGATGAATCAACACGAATAACACCGATAGTAAGAAGATATTAAAACGAGTTTTTACGAACAATTAGTACAATTATAGTTATATTATATTTGTTTGTTTTTTTGTTTTTTTTTTTCCAAAGTCGGTCTGAGAATACCAGCGTATAATATAACAGATGAAACAACATAAAATATTGGCCCGCGCGGCTGTGGAAAACGGCTTGGCGGCGTATGGGTATATTATGTACCTTAACTGTATTATATTGTACAGTGTGTACCTATCTATGCATGTACAGTTGTACGAGTAATATAAGCAGTACTAATAACACTATCCGTTGTGCGTGTTCGTTCGGAATTCTTGACGAGATTAGACGAGACATACGCGCGTATTATACGGGTTTACGTATTATTATTATTATTATTATTATTTGCCGTCAGTTTTTGACGAAATATTAATCTTACATATAAAACCGCGAAATTTCCGTCTATTGTGCGCGATGCGTCTGCGGAAACATACCTCTAATAATAATATAATAATAAATATATACGGCAACAATAATAATAATATACAAACGTACACACTATACCTCATATATATATATACACACACAAATACAGGTCTATAATATAAATACGAAATATTATTTTGTTATCATCAAAATATTGCAACGCGCGGGGCCAGGAATTTCGGACAGGAATCGGATTTGACGCGGCCGCGGCGCGGTCCGACCGTGATTGGTTGCAATGCGTGTATGGAATATCCGCGCACACGCTGTACATTTTGCGCGTATACCTACTGCGGGGTACATTGTATGATATAAAGGGTAATACGCGACGACAGAATACGGAGGTTAGGTTTATTTACATTGTTATTGACGTTGGTATGGGTACGCGACCGTTTGTACGCATCACAATAACGCACAAAGACGTCGTGTGAAACGCATAATAGCATAATGCGCATAGTGTGTACAGAACCCACACATAGCGTTATTATAATGTAGTCGGAGCGGCGAACTTGGAAGACGGGCGTGTACGATAAAAATATACGCTCGTGTTGATGGAAATCGGCGACGGAAGGAGGCATGTTATAGTATACTATACACGTATGTAACAAGGTAGGACGACGGACCAACCACCCTGCCTGTTTAATCGATGTCTAAAAAAAAAATTCCCCGATTCGCGATTTTTATTTAAAAGACCGGCGTTCGCCGCGTCACTGAATATTGTTACATTAGTACATACACAAATAAATGTTATAATGGAACGGCCGAATCTGAAACGGCAACAATCGAAACGATATCAGAATACTGCAACAATAGCAATAAATCCGGAATCTTAATCCGCTGATTAAGATTAACGCTCCAGTGTTTTATTAAAACAGTTAAAAAAAAAAAAAATTACGAGATTATATTGTGGAAACTCGCAGCTGCCCATTGATAAATCATAGACAAAACAAAATATTTTTGCACCGTTAGTTATATTGTACTACTGTCTGAAGTTATACATACAAGATAAATTTTTTATTTCGAGGTTTTATGTAAAATGCACTTTTTACATTTTTTTGTACGTTGACAACTATGTGAAATAAACCGATTTTGATTTGTAAGTTTGCCGAAATAGTTCCTCTTTTTAATTATTTATCTTAAAAAAAAATATATATCGATTCTCGAAAATGATGAAAATTTGAATGTTCTAAAAATTAAAAAACTATTCCAAACATTTCAATAATCCACATAACTGACTCATTTTAAAATTGTATAATAAATAAATTAAAAACATTTATGAAACAAAAACGAATTATAACTAATTTTATTAAATCCATTTAAGTTAATTTCTACGTCAAACAAATTGGACGCAAGCTCCAAAACAATTTGTTTTAGATATTATGTATCTAAGGTAAATTATAAAGTATTGGTATTTTATAAGATAAGAGGTTTTAGTTTTAAACTTGTATCGGTAGATCTCTATGGATTTTTTTTTGTATTTTTTAAAAAATCAGATTTTCTAGTACATGAGATGATTTTTTTCGTGTCAACAACGATACTTCGTCACAATATTTTATAACTGACATTGAAATTCTGTCGGTATGTATGTCCGTCTGTCTGCTGTCCGCTATACAAGCCTACAGTTTTGTTCCGATCTTAGTGCAACTTTCAGAAAAAAAAAAAAAAGAGGATGATCGCTGTTTACTTGTTATCTAAAAATTCTAACTCTATAGGGTGCTTGATACGAGAATTTTGGTGATTATTTTCTTTTTTTGTTGATGGTTATTTTGGCAACTATAATGAAAAAAAAAAAAAGTAATTATTCAATTTGGTTGCCGTGGACTAGGAAGTACCTATACCTTTTTTGAAATATACATTACCGCGGGCAACGGCTATTAACTGCAATAGGAAAAAAACGCGTAGAACGGGAAGACACGTTAATAATAATTGAAACAATTTTATTTATTAGTGTTTTTCGGATGGATTGTGCCCGGGCGATAGCGCTGTATAGTATACATTACGATAAGTAATATTTCTTCAAATTTTTCCCAGCCGTTTTCGCGATCGATTTGAATAACGATTTTCGGGTTATGCGATCAGAACTACAGTACTCGAATCTTCCGGGGCGACCGCGTTACATTGACCGTATAATTATTATTATTATTATTATTGTCTACGTATTATAGGTAACGTGAGTAATAATAATAATAATAATAATAATAATAACAATATAAATATAACACGTCGGTTATTATTACGCGCGCGTCGTCGTGGGTAAATAATATTTATTATGCACCTGTATATATGTAAATATACGCGGTCGATTTTTAACGAGTATTGTGGGATTCGATACATTAAATAGTAGTTTTCGAACGGGTCACGATCGCGCTCGTCTATTATTATTATAGTAGGCGTATATTCGATGTTTGGGAAAAAAGTGAAAAAAAAAAAAAAAAAAGAAAAGAAAAGGAATATTATACGAATTATGCATCATCATCCCTTGTATAATAATATAATATGTATATAATGTATATTGTATATATATACGTAGGTATACGAGTTTGTTCGAGTTTGCTTTCGGTACACAACACTCGCGCCGCACGCCGAGTCGTGTTTACACAAACGCGTGCGCTTCTCTCTGTATTGGTACGCACAAAGTCGTCGTCGCGGTCTTCGTCTCCGTCGCATAGGTACGCATCCTATAAAATATACTACCTATATATTATTATATTGTAATGCGACGTGTGCACGTGTGTATTCGTTATCCGGGTAGGAAAAATGGTGATTTTTATTATTATTATATTCCTTTTTCCTTTTTTTTTTTTTTTTTTTTTATCATATACGCGCCGTGTACCCGGAGCAGCCAACTATTATAATACGCGTATACACAATATTATTATAACGATATTACCTATATATAGACGCGGGTCCTGATCTACAACTGTTCGTGCATATACACCGTGTGTATACGCATTATAATAAGCAGTTGCGGTCTCGTGTTTTTTTTAAAAATTTTTTTTTCTTCTTCTGTAATCGGATCTCGGCGTGACACACGTTGCAGCGGGTATACGCGCACACCGCACGCCGACCGAAAGCCGGACACCGATCCGCATAGTTGCGGCCGAAACATCGTATAATATTAATAATAACGATATTTTACGTCCGTATACGACGATATTATACAGAGCGGTATTACGGACATTAGCGTTATATGGTTACAGTAGTAGTCGTGTATAGTATTGAGGGGGAGGGGGTAAAGTGTATTTCGAAACGCAAAACTCGTCGGCGTCCCGAGACGTGTGAGAAAAACGCGTCCGGCTCGCGTATCGATTTCGCGAGGACCGGTCGCCACCGCAAAGCGCATTACGACAGTCGTATTTTTGACTTTTGTGTACTGCTGTACAATAATCAGGGAGGGTAGGCCCGTCGCGAACATCGGACTTTTCTAAGAGTCTTAATGTGTCAACTATAATAGGTAATCTTAGGTAATCGTCACTCCGGAGCCGGTTTATATGCACCTATCGCCGGCATCTTGAGCCAGCGGTTTTCAACCGTTTAGGAATCCGCGGCTCTCTAATTTTTGTCATACGTATAAATCGACCTCTTCAAAAACCGTTTAATAGTACATGAACACTATACACGATATAAAGTGTACACGATAAACTCGTGGTTTCTGAAAACTATCAATCGCGACCCCTTTATGGGTTAGGTCGCGATCCCCGGGTCGAAAACAATAATTGCCTTAAACGATGCTGGTTTTCCTCAGACACGCGGTTTTTCACATTTTACTATGATGTTTTTGACGCGCTCTCGAAAAACTCATTAAGAATTTTGATCACAAATAAATGCATGTATAGGTACTGCGATTACGAGACGTGTTTGTATAGTATACTCAGCAGTGTTACCGGAGCGAGTAAACAATTTATTATTTAGTGAGTACCTATAATATAATATGCACGTTCACACGAGGAAAGTTACTTTGTATACCTAAACAGCTTTGTGGGACACTCTATAGATAATATATAGCTTAGTTTGTATAATATAGTATTTGAAAATGGACCGAATTTTTTTCAAATACGAAGAAAATTGTTTAAAACATAATATATATTATTATTTATCATATATATAGATGAGATACGCGCGTTTAGTGTTAGGGCGGAAAAGCCTTGGTGTGCGTCCTGATGTGTATAAAGTATGATTAGGTATAATGCTATTTTGTCGTATTTTTTTTTTTGTAAAAATATTTTTGTCGCCAAAAAAAATATATCAATCCGTATAGTCACGTTCTAATAATCTGATAGGTATAGTAAAGTAATTATTTTTCTTTCTAGATTATAACAACTGCAGGCTGCAGTTATTATTATTCGAGGTTTGGTTATCTAATTTTATGCGTTTTTCATTTTGCAATATGATCTCACGTGAAATATAAACCGCATTTTGTAAACTGTGTTTGTGTATTGAAAAAAACAAATTATTAAAATGTAGGTATTTAAAATAAATATAATTGAAATATATAAAGACTCGCAATTTGTCTTTTAAATTGATCAATTTATTGCAGTCGTAATTAAAGTGATTCATTTAATCATCAATTAATACACGTAAAAAGGTATCTGCATAATTATTGTATATTAAAATGACAAACTTAACTTTATATATTCATTAAAAATTAATATAAAACAAAAGACATAATATTGTATTATAATACATTTCTAGGAGACGTGTATTTAAAATACTAATACAAATAGTATTCAGATCATTGCAGATTTTTTATTATACAAATTTTCAATTATTAATTTTGTTTCGCAAGTATTAGATTATATATGAAACAAATGTGCATAATAAATTTTCGAAAATGTTTCAGACTTGTGGTAAAAAAAAAAATATAAAATGGATTTTTAATTATAAATGTATTTAATATTATAATTTATATAAAAGCAATAAGGCCGATAAGTGGGCGTATAATAAACTATTCGTTTAATTTTAATATAATATTTAAATTCATAAATAATTATGAAATGTTTTAAGGGCATTAGAAAATTCAGTGATCTAGTAAGTTGTTATGACTGATTTAATGCCTACTGGTTTTAGTATCTGACAATTTTAACCGATTTCGTTAGTATGCGTTGTTTCATTATTTATAATGATTTAAGTGGCGAAAATATGAAAATAATAAATCTTATAATAAGATAAAAGTATTAAAATATAAATTAAGTTTTACTGCTGTGTAGGAAGCTAGGTCCTTAGGCCAATTTCACGAAATATAAACATCTTTGAAGAGTATCTTCATAATAGATTCATAATTCATCTAATAGACGGAAATTGAGTGTCTTAAGGAATGTTTGCCTCTACCAAAATCACTAAAATTCATAATTCCTGAATTTTATATTTTATATAATAAATTAGTCTTATATGACTGTCGGAGCCAATTATCTAAATTTGCTCTTATTTTGTAAAATTATTAAAATTATTTTTAATATTTTAATGATCACACTAAATAAAATAATTTTCCCCTAATTTACCGCTAGATATCCATTTAGAGTACTGCCGTTTTTACGGACGAAAATGACTTCGTGGGAAAAATTTTCACGCCTCGTAAAACGATCCTGTTTCAATATTTGTTTTTTATTTGAAAGATCAAAATTGTACACAGGTTACATTAAACTTTAATTTTTGATTAAATCTGTATGCACTATGTGTCTATGTATAGGGTCAGCATAAAGGTTGAAAAATAACAAAAATTGGAATGTTTTAGATGCTTTATAAATTTTCTAGTTTAATGAAACCTACAAAAGTCTTCCTTTTTCAAATAACAACAATTTATAATTGCACGTAACGATAAACCATTGCTAACGAAATACGATTCTGAGCGAATTTGTGGATTATATATGTTTTAAAATGCTGTGATTTTTACAAAAACCTAAAGCAAATAGAGTTATAGCCGGTTATGATATAATGATATGACGGGGAAAACTTTTTATAAGGGAATCGTAGATGATATTATTTGTACACGATGGGGTCATTAATTTTGTACAATTTGTTGAACAGAAAATATGTTCAATAATACAATACAATATCTATTATCTAGTTATTAGACATCTAGAGCTATTTGTTCGTCCGAATAATACAGCAGTATATCCATATGATTGTGTCTGTTATTACCCACGCTATCGTTGTAAAACTACGTGGTAAGTCCATGAAATATAATGATATTATGTTAATAGATTTGTCGTGATGTTTTAAATCCGATTCTTGGCGTGTGCCCGAGTCCCAAGTATAATATTGTGGTTAGATATGTAACAGATAATGATACATAGAGATGTGTCAACTGTTAAGAATACTATTTCTATAGGACATGTCGTAGGTCTTATATTGTTTAACACGCATTAATAACACGTAGGTAAAGACGCATGTCTATCTACTATAATAATTCGGTGGTAAGTACAACTATCCTTTCGGCGATCGGTTTTCATAATTTTAATTTATGATATTTGTTGTTCGTTTTCGTTATAATATAGGTAGTAGATATGCTATAATATAATCAAGGGCGATTAAACTAATATTATAGTGTCATTGTTGTTGGGATGAAAAAAAAATTAGATATTAATATATTATAAACAATAGCATAGTTTTAAACATTTTAACTGTAATATTTACATTACCTACCTACCATATATATTTTAGACTCTGAGCACAATGAGGAATATATTGGTTTTACTATGATGTTTTTTTTTTTTAATTTTGTGTCTGTAAACAACTTTTCTACCAAAAATCTTGCTTCAATTTTCAAGTGTAGCATTTTTTCTGAAAATTAATTTTGTCTTTGGTTGGTGAATTAAAAAAGTTGTTTTTTGATTTTTCTTAATCATCGAGATAATCGGGAAAGTTTATGGAAATAACTGTATCGATATTTTTGTAATTTGATTTTTGAGCTGTTTATAGGCATTTGACATTTTTAATTTATTGAGTTTTTATTGATAATTATATTGCTTTGGCTTGTCAGAAATATTGCACCATGACAATCTAACACGAGATTCATAAGTTATATTAAGTGGTGAAAAAAAAGAAAAAAGTTTAATAAAATAGTTTTTTATTATATACGTATTAAAAGTTCAAATTTCAAATTGTGAAAATCCTGGCACAGCGTTTCAAAATAAGTTTAACCGAACTCTTCTTAGAATCATATTTCGTTAGAAATGATTTATCGTTGTATACAGATATAAATTAAATAACTCTACAATAATAACCGCACGGTATAAGGCAATAATAATTATCCAACCATTATCATATTATTATGACACAATTTTTTTATAATAATATTTGTATAGGATTCTATATTTATATTTCACTGGTTATACACGAAACGAACCGCTTGAAAAACTCACTGTATATTGCACACGGTTCACACAAAGGGCAAAAAATAAAAATAAATATCAAACAAATTTCTCAAATCGATTACTCGGCAATGTAATATACTTATCATGTTAAATATGCTATACCTATATATTTATATGTCGATCGTTTTTGTATATAAACAAAACTGATAAGAAACAGAAATATTATTATTATTCAATCGAAAGAAATACAATTTGAAAAATATCGGCGCGCAAATCATCGAATTCTCCGAAACACAGGCTTATGTTATTGTATATTATACGACGGCACACGCTGCAGTTTTCTGGTTTATTATATTTTTTGCTTCACAGGCCATTTGCAGCTTCCGCCATGTATAAGATCACCGTCGTTCCCGATCTTCTGCGTTCTCAATCTCGCCCCTTATCGTTATATTCTTTATCGCCATACTCGGTCCGTCCAACGTTGCCGCGGTCTTCCTTATAATTGGCTTTTTTTTAATATTTAGTTTACTGGTCTACAGTACTCGCATTTTATTAACTTCCCCATTTCACTATACCTTTTTGGATTTTTAGAAAATTTCGTATATTCCACATGAGTCTATTTGGTTACAGTTTGCAGTCTAAGTCTGCGTTTCGAAAATCGTCAATATGGTGTCGTCAACCTTCAGTTTTTTTCTACACGTGTAATCTATAAGCGCTTACACATGTATCGCTTAGACCGATACAGCAGAATTTTCCGTCTTTGTTTTACGTGCCAAAAAATGAGTTCGCGTAAAACAAACGCGAAGACCTTTAAAAAATAAATTATAGTATAATGTGTATAGATAACAACAATTAGATAACAACCACGCCGGCGTTTTATAAAATGTAATTGTTGAACAAGTTACAGTTCTTGAAAAAAAAAATAAAAAGATGTAACAATATTTTTGTGTATACGTTCAATAATGAGTCGAATATTTAGAGGATTGTTACGAAACGCCGCCAACACGTTTGTTGTCATCTATAAATAATTATTGTGCAAGTTTTTTTTTTAAACTTCTAAAACCGATTTTAAAAGGTTTCGCATTGGTTTTTTTCGCAAACTCGTTCTTTAATCATATTACCGAACGGTTGAAGAGATTGCAAACGACACTGCAACCGGCCACTTAACGCACAAATTTATCGCGTGCGATTAAACGCGATTCGGTTATAAATTATAGCGATCCGTTATAATATATTATGGGCGAATGACGCAGTATAATAATAGGCAACGAAGTTTTAAATATTATAGAGCCGTTTTCTTACGCGTGTTATAATAATATATTTAATTGGGTTTGCGAAATCACGACGACGATGAAGTTTATTATAATTATCGGCAATTTTTTTCTTCCCTCCCCCCACCCACCCCGTTTAATTACAAACAATTTTATTTTCGTATTAAAACGAAGGGGTAAACGGCGTTTAACGCGGATTCGCGATACCGCGCCGATAACCGACAATGTAATTATAAAAAAAAAAAAGCATATAATAAAGTATACTATATAGGTATAATATTATGTACGTATACGCGTTCAGATTTTTAGATCACGTTTGGGAATTAAGCTAATAATTGTTTTTTATTGCTTTAAACTTTTTTGTTTTTTTTTTTTTTTATATATATATACTCGTATATACTTGATTCGCGTGTCGTAAACGCGTGTACTATACTCAATCGGAATAATTATCAGACATCGTTATTACGTATTATATAGACTGACGGATCGGTCCATATAATCGAGAGTGTAACGCGATAATATTATATTATGTTATACGGTTTTTAAACGCCGCGCGAACGTCGTTGTGCCAATAAATAATAATAAATCAAAATCTGTAATGATTTATTGTACGTACATTGTGCACTGCCGCAATAATAATAATAATTATACTCTTATATAATGCGTAAATAAGGACTACAACAGTATTATATATATATATATAAAAAAAAAATGTAAAAAAAAACTGCCAGCGTAATCGAATTTTCATTCACTGCGGAGTTGAAAAAAAAACCGATTTCGTGGGTGTTTGATATTAATCATCTAATGCTATAGTATAACACGGAGTTTTTTTTCTGCAAAAATTCAATTTTCGCTTAATAATCCTATATTATAACTCGGACCCGACGACATTCGGTATAGGATTTCGGCCCGACAGGACCGTATCGTTTCTCCGCAGAAGGTTTTTCGCACTGTTTTCAACGTACCCGTGGTCCTTAATCTTGTAAATAATGATCATGAAAAAAAGTCTAAATAGACGAATTTGACGGTTTCACGTCCAAAACACATATATTATATTCAGAATCGGTTTTTGTCTGTATACGAATTTATTAAATACATCATCCAGTGTGTTAATTGAGGTCTATAAATCTCCCTTTATATTTTATCATCTCGACTTCCCGCTGGGGAATCTTAGGTATGTGCTTTCAGTGGCCTATTCAGGAATTTTCAGCCCAAGAGGTTGTAGTTAATAATAATCATAATTCGTAAATAAATTTTATAAATGATAATTTAAAAGCCGGATCCGAAAAAGCCAATTCGTGTTCAATTAATCAAGCTGTTTGCTTGTAATTTGGGTAAAAAAAACTACTAAATAAACACTCATGTAGTTGTTGTATTTTCAAGTCAGTAGGGGGTAAAACTCCTAACACACTCTCTCCTATGCTCGCCATTGGTACCGTTTTTTTGTTTTAAGGCTAAAAATATTAAACGAAACCGAAAAAAAAAATCGAAATACAAATTTATTCGAAATCGTATTCATTGAGGCTATACGGGAATATCCCGAGTACGTCCCGTTTAACATTTTTACCTTTTTCATAACCCGAGGGTGTTCGCAATTCTATTAAAAGTTTATTTATTTTATACATAAAAAAAAAATTCAAATACACACAGAAACAATAAGAAAACATAAAGGAAATGTACTAAAATACTGCATTCATCGAAAAAAATATCGAACTAATGAATTGTCTAGATTGGATTTTGTCTAAAGAATGGCATTTAAACACTAGTCTTTAGTTTATAGACAATATTGTTAATATTTAAAAATTACTAAATTATAAAAAAGATATTTTATAACATAAAGTTAGTACATTCACTCTAACTTAATGAGCGTAAGTTAAGTTGATGTATACAAATAAAAAAAACATTTTTGGGGCGTCAACCTGCCCTCGATGAACTGGGAAGCACTCGGGCGATCCTATTTTCCGGACGCACCCGGGACATTGCAAAAGGATCATTTCTGGACGCACTCGGGCAACCCAGGGCCATTTATAAAACGAATCTAGATAACGTCCAAATAAAAAACGGCCTCGGCAAAAAATGCCTGTATACAAAAATTGCTAGAGAAAAATATATATTTAAATTAAAATGTTCGTATTTAGCCATATTATCTCTTGCAATTTTTTTTTCTATCCTACCGTAGTTTTTTCATTGGCCACATTTTTGTCTGGCCGTTTTGGCGTACGATGATAGTATTTTTACCTAGACATTTTTTGCCGCGGTTACATTTGTTTTAGCCACCATTATTGCCGATAACAACGCATTATAGGTCCGCGGATACAATTATGTACGAGATATTCACCCCGCGCGTATAACATTACGAACGTGTTGGTTTTTTTTTTTTTCCGAATTATTATTTCTGATGTCGGAAAACGATGTTGTCCGACGATTATTATTATACTCATGCGGCGTATACGGAGTAATACGAGGAAATCGTGCGAACCGGACGTCCTCCTCGCCGCCTCAACGTGTGCGTGATGATGGATAGCCGACGCCCTCGTGTGTGTATGCGGATGGCGGTTTTGTTTTTGTTTTTTCCGTTTCTGGGCGGCGGTGAACGATAATTAATGAGGCCCGTCCGCGCCGGCGCGCGGCGTGAAAACGATACGCGGCCCTTTTGACTGTAGGTCGCGCGCGGATGACGGAGGAGATCGACGACGACGGGAAATAACAGGACCGCCGCCGCCAGGGCGTACCGAACGACGACGATAGATGAAGAGAGCAAGAGAGAGAGAGCACTTGTTGACCGAACGATGAGTGTATACACACACAGCCACGCATACACGCGCACCGCATCAACACCGAGTACACGAGTATTATTATTATTATTATTATTATGTGTGTATGTGTGTATATAAGTATTTTAACCCGGACGGTCGTCGGAAACAATAATAATTTCCGAATATTTTAACACGCACTGTACGTACGGCACGGCACTCGTCGCCCGACGCCGCCGCCGCCGCTCACAAATGTTTTATTTACTGTTTGCTCGGAGCAAACATTTTTTTTTTTTTTTTTTTTTTTTCTACATCTCAGCCGCCGCCAACCGCCGCCGCCGCCGCTGCTCCTTTTGACTCGTCGTCCGAACGCGGCGGCGAGACGATTTTACATCAGCGGAAAGCCCTTTGCGATGACGACAACGACGACGACGACGACGACGTCCAGACCGTGTATAGAGCGGCCGGTCGGTTTTTATTTTATTATTTTTTTTTTTTTTTCGTTTTGTTTGTACGGATTTTATATTGTATATACTTTGTTGTTGTGCTTCTTCGTTCACACGGTCACACAGACGACTGCACACACACGCACACACTCACACACGAGTACTTGTACCTACGCATACCGATATCATATTATGTATATGTATAGTATATTACGCGTACATACGTATAATAGGTACGCGCGGTGTTCCGCGTTTACGACACGACGACGTTTGGTTTTCTCACACGGTCGTTCATGAGTATTATTACCAGGTATATTATACGAAATTCGGGTAAACGAACTGCCGGGTGCCAATAACGGCTATGATGTACTGCAATATTATTATACAGTAGACGCCGCTCATAAGACTCACTTTGGGACCAGTACAAAGTGAGTCTTATAATCGAATGAACATTATAGGCGAAGTGGAGAAATGATAGAATGTATTTGGCTATGTCAGGACCGTTCTAAATGATTTTGAGTCTAATAAGCGACTGAACCGTTTATATATCCGCAGTGAGTATTTTAAGCGGCGTCCACTGTATATACGTCGGCGTTAAACCACAGGCGCGCTTTAGGGGCGCATACGCGGGAAGGGATTGAGGGTTTGATATCACTCCCAAACAACTACGGCCCCCGTTGACATTTTTTATTTTTTTTAATTGTACAAATTAAGCGTACATACGATGTGAAAATTAACTGAGACAACATTATATTCAGCATAATTATAGCGTTTTCGATTTTGAATGAAAAATATGAATTTTTTTCGAAAATGTGTACTTATTGTAAAAAAAAAAAAAAAACAATTATAATAATAACGTCAAAATCTGCGAGAGTCGCGAGAAAATAACGATAATTTGTCTTTAGGGAGGGTAACACCCCTCATATTTAACTCTGTTGCCTTTTTTTTGATTCCTCTAACAAATAACGTACACCTATATTTAGCTATTTGCTTCTGTTTACTCGTAATATATTATTATCATAATACTATTGATTTTATCATAAAGTCATCGGAGGGGTGATAATTTTGGTATACTACCCAATGAAAAAAATGTCCGCGGTATAAGAACGTCAAAAAAAAAAAAGGAAAAAAATTCGGGGTATACTTCTATAATATTAACTGAATTATCCCACTTTACTTATTACCCACTTACAATAGTGAGGGCATGCCCGCGAGCACTATCGACATTTTCAGTTTGTTGTCAATTAATTTTTTTTAAATATTTTAGTTTTCGATTTTGGACAATTTTTCCGCGGATATCTTTTATATATAATGTAGATTATTAACTGAAATAAATCCAAGTCGGTGACTCACCTGATTTACAAGAACAGTGAATGTACCGGCGATTGTAGTTGACCCAATCGAATCCGGCTTCGACAGCCAGTCGGGCCAACATGCCGTACTTGGACTTGTCCCTGTCCGATGTGGTGATATCCACGGCCCGGCCCTCGTTGTGCAGGCTGCTGCCGGCCCGGTCCACCCATCCGTCGATCACCCGGAGCCGGACGTGCGGCCACAAGTTCATCACGCTGATGGCCAGCGTGTTAAGTTTCTCTTTACACCTCTGAAACAAAAAAAAAAATACGTCATTATTACAGCGGACAGTTATTATGTGAGTATAACCTAAATGTCGTTTGATATTGTTGTCGGGGAACCCTTATGTAACTCTTTTGCGCTAAATATATTACCCTCCACCCTTTCGCCTTGCACGAATAATATACCCTGCGAGACCTCGAATAATAGATACTTCCGCGCCGAAGTTCTAGAATATGTTATGGAAAATAATTTATATTGTAAATCCGAATTGGTTTTCCGTTTATAAGTCTGCAGGATTTTCGATTGAATTCGGACGCATAAAGATTTCTTTACTAAAATCGCTATTACTAAATAATTATTTCGAACAAATCGTATAAGTTTAAAAATATTATTTTTTCAAAACTATTCGTTATTAGAAATGTAGGTGTACCCGTATTTAATTACATATTATAACTATAATAATATATAAATAGGGGAAAAATGACGACTCACGGGCCTATTGTAAGTGCGTTGCCGAGGCGGATATTTTAAAAATTATACACTATCAGAAATAGGAAACGACGCACTGTTATCAGTTCGTTATCAGTTTATCACAAAATATATGATTAGGGGCGTTCAGTTTATCTGTCAGTTTAACCATGTGACGTCAAGACTGAACGATTAACTGCGCGGTAACTGTGCAGTTCTATCCGGCAAAACGTTAGTTATTCGGCCTGAGCTTCGAGACCTCTGTCCTATCCGGTTACCCGCACGAAACCGACAGATAAAAACCGAGTCATGACTGCACTCGTTCAATTCGGTGAATCGTTCAATTTTTTTCATCTGGCGAGGATTCAGTTACACCGACAGATAAACTGAGCGTGTCCCTATGTGTGTGTTTTCAAAATATTATTCGCGTGTGTAGCGCGTGCATTAGCCAGTGTGCCTATTGTATTTTCGAAGACGGATTCGCCCCAACTACTTATCCCTAAAAATAATAACATAAAAAAAAACAAAACGCGTCCGCGTTACGAAACGTAGCCGCGCGATACTGTGCCGGAAAAACGGCGCGGCGATGATGTATACCCACCGTTTTCACTGCCACTATACACGGCCTACAACAACAATCGCCGCGGCTGGTAGTTCGTACGTATTTTTTCATTATTATTTTTTCTCCCCTCGTTTTCGGCGTTCCCTTCTCGTCCTGCTCTCTATGTAATAACGGCCGTCCGCCGCTACGATGTTGTTATACAGGTATACTTTCCGGCGACCACCGCGCGCCGTTAAACGGAATTAATAATAATCATAATAATAATAATAATATGAGCGCGGCGAGTTATTGGACGGCTCCGGCATTCTGGTTATGCCTGTTTCGGCCGCGCGCGCCCATGTCGCTGTATATGCGTATAACTTGTAATACTGTTACGTATAATACGCCGTACCCGCGATACGTACGCGCGCGCACGCGCGTCCGTTGTAACATCGCATAGGATCTTCTAGGAAACGCGTTATTTTCGAAGGTTTACGTACGAAACCGAAACGACAAATTGGCCCGCCGGCGGCATCGGCGGCCGACGGAGGCCGCGCGTGAAAAATTGCACTCGTTCGGCTCGCGCGCAGCGTGTGCAACGCGTTATACCGAGAATTCACATTGTTTGTTCACGTTATTAATTATTATTTATAGATGGTTTTGTTTTTGAAATTTTTTTTTTTTTTTTTTTTTTTTACCTCCTACATACATACGCCGAAATATACTTACATAGACACAATTTATGCGCGGCGTATATTATATTATACGCCCGGTCCAAATTTGTAATACGCGTATAACGTATTACGATAATACACGAATAATCATGAATAAGTCGATTTTTATATATATATGTACACATTTTTTTTTTTCAGTATTTAACAACAATAACGCGTTTTTTTTTGTTCGTATACGTTTATTGAAATCGTGTAGCTTTTTTTTTTTTTTTTGTTACGATCAATGTGTCCGATAACGAATTATTATCATATGTTATATACTTGCACACATCGTATAATATTACACGAATAAAGGATTATGATATTATCGGAATCAGATTTTTTCGTTTCTCCCGCGGTCGGTCACGTTATAACTTCTCGACGGATCTTTTCCAGTGACGGGGCAGCTAGGCTGAAATCGAGAAGTGCTTTCCGGAGCGTGCGTACACACGGAAAAGAATACCGAGAAAAACGGAAACTCTCTGTCTACAAATAGGGCGTCATTTGTAGGGAGTGAATGAAGCCAATCGAATCACTACCACTTTGGGTGACTTATATAGGGTGGCCGGTTTGAAGGAACAATAATCGGACAGATGTGGGTTTTCGGGGGTGGAGGGAGGGGCAAAATAACCTGCAGGTAAAACGGGGACTTACACTTAACGTTTCAGCAAAATGTGAGTGTGGACTATACAGACCGTGCCTATCACCTTTTAAACTGCCCAAGCTGCCCGAATTCTGGATGGTGATATTTACATAACATATACTTTCATAATCACGAGTTTAAACGTTACCAAACAAGACTGCCAACTGATAAAATTACTATTAACTATACTTGTGTACTTTATTTAAGTGTTTTCTATTTATTTTTATTCGTTTATTTATTTTATTATAGGCACTTGTTAAATTTTATTTATGTACTCGTGTAAAATGACGCTCAGTTTTTAGTTTAGATCGTTTAATACGAAAACACTTTACTACCTGGTAAGTGGTAAACGCAATTTGCACACGCAGTTATAATATGAACATAATAAATTCATAGATAAATCCCAGTGCTTAGCGGATTAATTTTTGATCCCAAAGAAAAAGAGCTTAAGTCAATTCTGAATAATTTTCAATACAAATAAATTAAATGTTGAAAATACTTTTTTTTAAGCTATTTAAACCAAAAAATGTATGGGAACAAATTGCATAAGACATAATTGTAAAACAAGCCAAAAATTGACTAAAGCAAAGTTCTTAGTAAAAAAGGAAACAAAGACATTCTTATAGACCCCAAGCGTTACAATTTATAATACGTTCATATGATACGCGAACGTGTATAATATTTTTTGCGTGACGTTTACTCATTGCTTAAAGAGGTAATGTGGGCGATACATCAATTTCCAAAGAGTTTTAGAACGGAATTTTTTTTTAAAATAAAAAATAACGCAAAATTTCAAGCATGGGCGGATAGGCCTACTGGGGAGACAGGAATTTACCGATGGGCCCCCTAATGGATCCTTGGATCGTTCTTGGTAGTGATGGACACGACTGAACGGAATGTTAAGTATGTTTGTCAACGTATTTGGCCGATAAGCAAAAAAAAAAAAAAATTAAAAATCATTTAAAAATTTCCCGGTAGGACAAATTTGTCCTACCCGTCCAAGGTTTCGAGTGTGCGACACGCCACTTTAACAATATTTGTTCGTTCATCTCGTTGGACGGAAAATAATAATGAAACGCTATCGATATCAGAAGAAAAATTAATATGGAAAAATATAGTTAAAAGACGAAACGAATGGATAGGCCATATAATGCGACACGAGGGACTACTAAAATTGATCATAGAAGGATGCATAGACGGTAAGAACCATAGGGGAAGACCAAAACTGGAGTATATTCAACAAATAATTAAAGACCAAGGATGCAACTCATACGTAGAAATTAAAAGGAAAGCGGATAATAGAGAAGAATGGAAGATGGCTGCAAACCAATCTGCGGATTGAAACTATATATAGAGAGAGAGAGATCGTATACTATACTGTATTATATAGTTATTATTATTTTTTATTTTTAACAAATATTCATATCACTCTATCCTCGTCGCTGCTACAACGTATACGGTATTTTAATAATAGTATACCATTCATGCCGGTTTATTATGGCAACAGGACGATTGGTAGCGAACTAGCGCGCTAAGAGAACGCCGAAAATTCAGTAGAATACGCGTTTTCGCGTCGGCGGCGGTGGTTCGTCACGGGCGTATCATTGAAATATCGCGTCTTCGTGATGCGGCGCGGCAGCGTCGTCGGCAAGGCGCACGGCGAGAGGTGACAGTGAAGAAGCGGCGAAACGACACGGTAGACGACGACAACGGCGTGGAAAACAAAAGATGATGAGACAGTCGGCGGCGGCGCACGGTGGTGCCGAGGTGGCACCGTTGGGCGGGGCCCGGTGTTCACCGCGGGCGAAACGTGTACATAGGTACGCGGCGCGTTGGTACGTACGGCGGCGGCGGCCGTCGGCGTCGGCGAGGTCAAAAGCAGCGCACAGATAGAAAACCAAGAATGTCTTGGCCGCCGCCGCCGCCGTCGTCACCGCGTTGGGCGCGTATATATGTAATATAAAATAATATTGTGTACTATGTATAATAATAATAATAATAATACGTAGTGCCGCGTTATAGTAGAATATAATATATATAACACGACCGTATTACTCACATATTATTATTATAATATTATAGGTGTATTACATATATATAATAATAATATTATAACACATATGTATGGGAAATCACCAGAATGAAAAAGAGAGACTATGACGAAATCCCGGCGATGGTGGGGAAAAATCGAATTCGCCGCCGCCGCAGTCGACTTCTTGATGAACGTGTTACGGTGCGACGCGGTATTTCCCTCTTTCCCTCTGTCCGTACCCCGCCCCCGCTTAATAACCCAATTGCGCCCGGGTCGGCAGCGGCCATTTTGTAATCGTGGCCTGCATTCCGAAAAAGCATTGTCTTAAATAAGAATAATAACAACAACAATAATGATAATAATAATAACAATAATAATATAAAGAACGCGCACTGCACCGCGGGGTGAGCTGTACACCGGTGCGGGACGGGTCGCATAATATTATATACATACATACATAATATTATTATGAGATTACGATCTTTTATTCATGTATGTATATATATTATGTATTATTATGTATCGGTGCAGCGGGAGACGAAGACGGGAGGACGCTGTATACATTACAATACGGGACGGAGGTGCCCCAAAAGAAGAACGGCTGCCGAGCGCGACGACGACGGGACGCGGTGTCGGTAGGGGGCGGTGTTGGTGTCCTTTTGTGGGGTCGGCGGCATCAGGCGCCGCGGTTTATTTTGACAAGCAATTTGACATAATAGGCATTCTGAACGCGTCGGCCGCGCGCGCCCGCGCCGCGCTGCACACGACGCTTCTACGCGGTGGCCACAATGAACCGGCCGCCGCCGACTATATAGCGCATTACCCGCGCGCAGTGTGTACCGCGTGTGCTTGTTGCATAGGTCTTTTGACTTTACACGCACACACACCTTGCACCGCGGGGACAGGTGATACCAGACTGCAGCCGGGGCGGTTATTTTTCTTCTTCCTTTTTTTATACGCCGAGTTTTTATGTCGAATTATTATTATTTTGACGTGAAATAAACCGCGATGATTTAGCACATGCCTTTGTCCTCGCCGAGATCAAACCCGGTGCGGTGTGTTTGTGTGTGTGTGTGCGCCGCGCCGATTGGCCGTGAGTATTTTGTGCGCGTGTATAAGAAAAAACCGCTAATTTTTTGTACCGGTCGTTTCTGGCCGTTTTTTCTCGCCTCCCCCGCCTATAAACGAATATCGGACTTCTTTTATTCGTACCCCCTCAGTTTATACGAGTGTTCGTATACAATATTCCATTTGTACGTAGGCAATTTCATTTCAATTACAAGCCGCCCTTTACGGAATATTTTACAAATCACTTTCTGGATCTATATTTTATAACTCCGGTTATCGGCATCAGGATGCAATTTTTTTGCAGAAGAACTCTAATGGTTGGACGTTTGAAGGCAAACGAGTGTCTATACGATGGGTCGCGGTAGATTTCGTTAAAGTCCTTGTTAAAAACTACGTTAAATAAGTTGAATATCAAGGGGATTGGATACCGATGGTATCCGTTTTCTTTGTGCGTAATACACGTGCGTCACACAGGATTTTAGACAAATTTTACGGAAATCAGTCCGATCGGTGTATAGCGAAGCGATAAGAATTTAGAAAGCGGATTTGCGTTCTGGTCACGTTTTCCAGTTTTCAGTTTTTGATTTCCAAAAGAATCGATTCGAAAATTGACAAACGCTGTCCGGCCGACTCGTGTACGCTGAACCACGCTGAATTCAGAATTATTTTCGCTCCGCAACATCGGTCGGACCGTTTGCCCGTAAAAATGGTCTAGTTAATTATTGTTGTGTCGGACGAAAAAATGGAATATTGGTAATTAACCCGCGCTTGACAAACACACTTTATGTACACGAGCATTGATGAAAAGTAAAAGTTTGTCCGCGAAAGTGAAACGGGCATTTTTTCCGCGTCTTATACAAGTGTACCGAGATTCGTGTATAATATGCTGCAACACTCGTGTATAATTTATAGTAATGAGAGTGAATTAATTATTCGAACGTCGGGAAAATTTGTCAAAAATCTTGTTGCCTGTACGGCTGTAATGTGTACAAGGTATACGTATGCGTATACCGTATTGAATATTGATAAATACGAGCTGAGAAAAAAAAATAACGTCGTTTCTCCTACGCGTATATTATACGTAGACGCGCGTATCTACCAGAATTTATTCGACCGAATCACTATCGATTTCACCGCGCGAGAACTCGTTTGTTTAATTTTTTTTTTCCTACCTAACTCGCGACACATTTTATTTCTTCCTAACGAAACGTATTCACCCGTCTATATATATTGTATACAACGGACCTTTAGAATATTATGTATATATACGTATACGCGTATACGTCATACGAGATCGTGTATAATAATATAGGATCTGCAAAAGCGTATGGAAAAAAAAAACAAACAAACAAACCGTGATGGGAAATTCAAGTAGTGTCGGGCAAAAAAAAAAAACACTAAAAGAACAACTACGCGCGAGACCGAATCAATTGTCCGGGGGACAAGCACGCACGCACACACACACACACATACACTGTAATATGTGGCCGTGTCGGTCGTAAACTATACACCGGTACCTATAATGTATAATATAATAGGTACCGATGTATACCCAACGAGGCGGCGATGCGGGACGCGCGCGCGGTACCGTCAAAATCAATTTCCGAAAAAACTCGAGTATACGCGCGCCGCGGACGCCGGGTACCGCGGGCCCGAAAAGAAGAATATATCGTTATTGTACGCGAGGAAGAACGAGATGGTAGGGGGGGCGGAGGGGGAAAATAAAAATGTGTATATACATTAAAAAAAAAAAAAAAAAAACAACCGTGTTCTTCGGGCGTTCCTATCGTTTACACGATCCCGAAGGGGATTATAATCGAATAATATAATATATAATAATATTACCATTATAATAATATTATATATTAGAGAGATTATATTATATTATATAGGTACACACCGCTGCGGGGGTACGCCGCCTCCCGGGTGTCCGTCCGCGCGACCGCCGTGCGGGTATAACGTGCGCCGGGCGCGAGAGTGTCGAACGGGACCCGGTTGGCCTCCGACCGCCGTCTCGGATTTCGTCGATACGCCCGGATCGCGTACGCGCGGGACCGCAGCGCGCCTACTCCCCCGCCGGCCGCAGTCAAAGACTCCGCATACCAGACGCCGCCGTATACCGTATTAATTAGCGCTGCGGCGTACCTACCTATAATAATAATAATAATAATATTATACAACATATCACCAATAATATTGTTATTATTGAAAACCTGCGCGCGCGTTATCGCCGGCCGTTATCAGTATTCTGGCCGTCCCCGTGAACCCGTCGCGACCACCCCCGTATAATGTACACTGCGAACAGTGACGTGCCCAGGATTTTTCAATGGGAGGGGACAAGGGCGCCCGCAGAAAAATATGAATATGTGGGGGGGGGGCGGGCGGGCAAATTCAAAAGTATAATACTTTTTTTTACAACTTACAAGTAATAACGGATTAAATATTTAAACCATGCAAGTAATAAAACAATTTATATTTTTTAATATTAACTAAAAAAGCGGGGAGGGGGCCATGGCTCCCGCCGGTATCCTCTGCCGAAGTCCTCGGGAAGGGATTTAACAAATATAAATCGTGAAAAAAGAGTAAAATCGTCTTCTCTACCCAACTCGGCTGTGGGAATTGATAATTTAAAATCAAGATCCTAAAAAAAAGCCAATTTCTAAGCAATACATTAAGTTTTTTCTTGGAAATCGGCCGAAATTTCTAAGTTTCGATATTAGATTACTCAAATGTTATTGTATTTTTAAGCCAATGGGGGGGGGGTAGGGTATATAACACCTAACCTTTCCCTCTGGCACGGCACTGAATGCGATTATTGGCGTGTTTTGGCGATGCTACTTTCAGTAAACTGCAGTTTACTACTTATTGATTACTCGCCAAAATGTTTTGTTTACTGTATAGTGTTTTTTGTTATAGAAAATAGATGGAATGATAGTCCTTATCAATAGATTATTACTAACCGAAAACAGTAAACGTAGTTTTCGATTTGTTTGCTTATTTCGGCAACTGGGTTGCCGAAAAGTGCATTCAGCTATCAAACAATATTACCGTAAACTATGTCGCTAAAACAGTTTGTTCACTAAACTAATAACAAGGTTGCTCAAAACTACATCGCCAAAACACGCCTATTGTTACATAATATAGTAACCGCTCGGTTAAACGTTTTTTATTCCCTTCTAGATTCTGACCTATACGAGGAATGTATTGCCGATTATACAACGTGTTTTTTTTTGGCGCGTCTGCAAACCACTTTTCTTCTAGAAATTTCGCTCAAATCAAAAATCGTACGGGCATTTTCCGGTAGCTAGCGTTTTTCATCTAGTTGGTACGTCGGAGAAGTCTTTTTCCGATTTTTCTTGTAGTTACATCGTTATAATAAATAGTAAAAACCGAAAGATTTTTGTTGATATCTGAGTTGGTATGGCAACAAGGGGAAAAATTGTACTCTGTTCAGAATCGTTTTTCAATCAATGGTTTATCGTAACGTACAGATAAAAATGAATTTACTCTATACGCCCTCCCATCCAACTTGCTTCCTAAAACAGTGGTATACCCATCAACAATATCAGTTTTTTTTTTCTCGCTGTACAATTATAAAACAATAGTAATTCTTAGGTAAGTACTTGATTTTTATGGAATTTCGTTGAGATTTGAACTTTCAAGTTTGAAAAAAGTAATCGCGTAAAAAACTAAAAACATCAATTATACTAAAGTTTTTATTATTAAACAGTAAGAACGACTTCATATAATGAAAAATCTTTGTACCGAATTTTTGAGCTAAAAATAACTCATAAAGAACAGAAATATTTTGTAAATAATTATACCACGTCTATAGACATATTAAATGATCATTGAACACATTATAGTAATGTAATGTTTATATCATGATAATATTTGAATTTCATACTGAATTGCAATTAATGCATTTTGTCAAAAACCAGGCTGTAGGTTTGCACATTTTTATTCATAGCATCAACTATGGATTCAAACGAAAAAACCGTTAGGGTTTTAAAAACAATTTTCGATTGAAATAAAACTTTTGGTGTCAACAACTTTTTCATGGATTTAAAAAAAAACACACATCATAGTAAAACCAAATAGGTTTTGGAAACTATTAGAAGTTACATCATGAGAACAATAAGAGGTCTTTGTCGTACGTTTTAAACTCGTTTTGACCGTAGTTGTGTATTATAGTAATGGAAAACTCGAGATTAAATCTATAATCGGTAATTGTTTGAAAACTGCAAACTCACTCCTTCCTCACACACGAATTTTGATCGTAGACCCCCGCCCCTGCTCTTATCGACTTAATACCTAAATCATATTCATGAATCACGGAAATGACTGCTATAATACCCATATACAAAACCGATTTTGATAGCACAAGTGTTGAAAAGGTAAAATGGAAAGGTCATCGCAGGCAACGATTTGTTTTTCTGTCACTCATCAACCGGTCGTGTTACATTATTAATATTATTTATTGGATGAATAATTATTCGGTGACGACACAGCGAGTCATTTAACACAAAAACCACCAAACCCACTGAAGTCAAAATATTATTTGTCCAATACTCGTTTAACACCACGACGGTTATCGCGTAATAATTGTGTATAACCCAGCAATGGCTTATTTACAGAGATGATTCTATTGATAAATTACACCCTAGAAACTTTCTATAAAAAATATTTTATTTTATTTTACGTTTTTTTAATTAACTAGCTAAATTATCAGGTGTTTCCAGAGCTCGTCTGAAAAGTGGTACCATATGTTTATATTATATAAAATTTAAAGTGTATCTGTTTAACGTGTTTCTCTTTCCCACCTTTATCCCTATCACAGTTAATCGTTGTTTCCCTGTAATTTATCTTTTAAAAGGATACTTCCTTATTTGTAATGACAATTCAATTAAATAATAATACATTTTTTTGTTTATTTCATACTTGTCACCATGATAACCCAAAAAACAACCAAACAAATTTAATTTTGTTAAATTAAAATATCAGAAACGTGAGTCACCCATCATGGGTTGAATTTCTAGTTAAAAATAAGATAGAGGCTTTCTTTTATTTTTAATGCCAAGTGTGCAAACGTTTCATCAAGTTCATGACAATTAGAATAAATCTGTATATTTGACAGATAGACAGCCAGACTTTCAACTGTATGTATAAGATATAACAAATATTATTTTTCAGTTTTGTGTAATACTATCATCCGATCCAAGATATAGTGCAACATATAATGCTCATTATAATAGTATGTCACCATCGTCATTAATTAGGTCATTCGAATGAAAATTTAGACCAAATTGTTATTGTAGGGCCTAACGTGAATGATGAAAGATAAAAAAAAAAAAAAATAAGTAGGTGCAAATCCCTATCCGGAAGAACATCTTAAATACGCCACTGTACCAAAGTATAATATGGTCACAGTCTAAAAGAAAAAAAAATCGTACAAACTGTATTTTTTTAAAACAACGTATATACATTACACCTATACAATATTTTATAGTACCAATAACATATACACCTTTGTGTACAGCAGGTGATGTATATATGCACAAAGACATGTCATAAATGGTCCATAAAAAAAACCGTCTCGAGTTTTCCAAACACCCAAAGTGATAATAAAAAATATATACATGTATACAAATCGTTTAATTTTGATGATTTATCGATTACCTATTAAAATTTAACGCGATTTGCATTTGTAATAAATTTTGTACTTTTTTTTAGATAGTACAGATTTTTATTTTCGTGGTATTATAGTGCGGTATTATTATTATAATAACTCACATTAAAGAACGTGCGATTTTTACACATTTTTCAATAACAAAATAGGTTATAGTTACCTACTGAACAAAATACAAATATTTTTATTACGGAATACCTACGTAAAAATAAATATTTTTAAAACATTATTATAGTTTTAACAAACAAACATATATTATAAATATTATGCTAGAATTTTTTCACGGTCACTACCTTTACGAAATTATACTTTATACATACATTAAATATATTATATAGGTGACACAAATGATAGGAGACATTTTGAAATGGGTCGTTAAGTAAGCCAAAGTGAAGTAATTATTTAAGTCAATAATTATTGTTGATTTGCCGAGAATATTTAAATTTGACTGATCTTATAACTTACAATACATGAAACGATAAAATTGTAGAAAATGTCTGGATCGTAAACATAACAATAAACGTCAAAACGAGATCAAAGTCAAGTTGATTATATTATATTTATTTTTAACGATAAAAACCATTAAAAAATTAAGTATGTTTAAAAATTAAAAAAAAAAAATTATTAACGTACACCAACGTGGAGTGAATATTGAATAAGTTGAATGTCAAGGAAATTTCATTAAGCTTGTAAAAGCTATATTAAAAAAAAACCTGCAACCAGTTTTTAGTTTATATGATAAGCCTTTATCATTACACATTCTAACGAAAAAGGCGAAGTACAGGAACATCCATATAATAGCCTTGGTTACTGCTCTTGATAATTCTGAGCTTAGGTTGTATGAATAGTTTTTTGCTAGGTATTTTATTGGGACTCATTAATGGAAAAGATAAAACTTCACCCTATTGTTATGAGACCAAACCGATCTGAGCCGATTGAAGACATTTTAGATTTGGACGGGTGTACTATGTATACATTGTAATATGATTATTTCGTTTCTTATCTTTGACACTTATGTCATAATTGAATATATTGGTTATTATGTGATGTAATTGACGTTCAAGTCACTGTGTAATAATTTTGTTACTAATGATTTGCATATTATATTTTATTATATATATATATATCTTTGGCGCTTAAATACAAGCGGTTTACATTATTAATTGTACCTATTTATTTAGTCGCGAAGAAATTATAATGACGTTAAATTATTTTAAAAATATTATCTTCATTGGTTTTTTTTTTATTAAGTAGTTACTATTATTATTACTACAATGTTTAAAATGCAATAATAATATTATAATTGTCAATGTCACGACATTAAATTAATCATTATATTATTATATTATAAGTAATAAAGTTATTTTTATTTTTTCTAAATGAGTCACATTTTGTAAGCTAATATTATTATTGGTGAGTGTAATTTGATATTAACAAATAATACTACTTAATAATATTACTCAACAGTCAACACACGTTCTATTGTAAACATTATCGGTTTATATGCATTTACTGTTTCGCCGAACTAACAGGTATCATAGCAAAATAATATAATTATTACTATAGTAATAATAATTACTTGAAAGTAAATTGTGGTGATCTGATTGAATTTAGAGTTTAAACTCAAAATACAAAATTAAAGAGAAGAGAGAGCTGTGTGTAGTTTTTTTTAAAAAAGAAATTGTTATACAAAAAAATTATGGCCATTTAAGTTTTGTTTTTTGTTTTTAATAGCTGTAAGTCCATTGCTTGTAAGTAAGATCGAGATGCAGGTGTGGCGTCCTAATGATGCATTATTTGTTTCAGTCTTATACGAAATTACGAATGTACGACATAGTGAATGCTCGTTCGGCAAAACCAATTTTGGACTGTTCGTTTTAATATTAGAGTGAATTTACCTATGATCAAACTTAAACGGAAGAACATTATCTGCAGTGTTTTTACGTTGGTTTTTTATTTTTTGTTATTAACATTTTTAAGCGAGATATGGTGAATGTGAAATATGTAAAAATAAAATTTTTATTCATCTCACTTAGAAACCCGAATATTGGGAAAAAACTAATAATGAAATACAGATTATTGTATTACTTTTAAGCTTCATAATAGGTAAATTTACTGTAATAACTCTAACATCAAAACTAAAATCACAAAATTACGAGAGATTTTTGAGGCGGTTTACCAAGCTTTCTGTGTCCAAATGATGGACATATTGTAAAGTCAATTGGAAACCCAGTAATGTAGGATTTTGTTTAATGTGTATTTATTAGTAAGAAAATAGTAAATGATTGAATTAGTAGATTTTGTTAGAAAATATTACATTTGATTGGAAATATTTTCACTGACGGGGAAGGGGTAATTGGAGAGAGTTAATGGGTTTTGATGGTTTGATCCATCTCCTCATGGAACTTTTGGAGGATTGAGAGGATACTTGATGAAAATTCTCTAAAAAATCCCCTGCAAAATCCGTTTTTCTGAATGCAAATTTGTTATGTCGTACGTTTATAAGTCTGTAGGGGCAAAAAATGCATAACGTATAGCGTCCTCTTAATTTGTTTTATACCATTTTTTTAATCATTTTAACATGATATATTTTTAAATAAAAAAAAAATCAATAATTAAATAATATCCGTATTGAAATGTGCCCAAACTGGTTGTCATATTATAGTTTTTGTTATAGAAATTAATAGGTAAAATTACTTATAAAAAAAAAATCATCAAATATATTACTATGTACTTAAATACGCAAACGGTTAACGCTCCATTATAGATAATAATATGTGAATTGTCATTTCAAAAATGTCGCCAACGATGCAGACTACAGATGCGTATTCTTAATATATTTTTTTTCGAATTTAATCCGGTTTTACGTCAATAAAAAAAAATCGTGAACGACGAAATCAATTAAAGCGATTATATGTACCGAAAAAAAAAAAATGTTGTATTGAATCAATTTCCTCGTATTATTAATAGTTAAATATTATAATTATGATGAAATAGGTGTATCAATGATTTTTTATAATGCATTAAAAACCATAACTTTTAAATTTTAAAATTATATTAGAAAATTAGTATCTGCACTTTGGTACAAGAAGTACAATGTCGAAAAAAAAGTGTATTATAATAATGTTGTTAATTTAATGTTAGATTTTTATAATTTTTGGAAATAAATACATTGTTTTCAACTTCTTATTTTCAGTTTATTTTTAAAAAATTTTTTTTTTCATTGGTCAAGCCACAGATATAAATATACACATACTTGTTTAAACACCGATCTTTTATTTTACGAAAATATTTTTTTATATACTAACGAAATATTCCATTATCTAGTAATATTATAAAATAGATTATCAACGATATTTTCTCATTTGTATCCGCAATTTTAATGATAATCGACTATCGAATAAATATTGTGCATGTACAAATCAATCGTTTGCCAATGACTATAACCCGGAGAACAATGAACCCAAACCAGTTGCCGAACGACTTCTCCTTATAATAATAGTTGCCCGCATTGTTAATGAAACGAATCGATAAAGTCGGGGACGCCGCGCCGCGTGTGCTCCGGACTAGGTGAAGTTTGATTTTTTAAACGTGATAAAAACTTAACAACGACCGAAATATAATAAACCGGTCTTTTTTTTTTTTAGCGGAAATCAGTTAAGATATTATACATATATATATATATATATAAGAACAATAGTTGATTTTGTTATTGGTTCCAGGGATACTTATATATACTATTAAAATATAGGAAAATTAAACCACCTTAATTTGTATGCATCGTAAAATAATACACATATTTTGTACTTGCACCTGCTGCAATAATAATAATAATGTGCATATCGTTACGGTGAAAATATATTGCATTACAGTAATTCAATATATTTACCTATAGCTGGGCTATAAAAAATGGTTACAAATTTAAATCGTTACCGCCATGATGCGGTCCTCAGAATTTATTCTCATTGGACGGCTTAGTGTTTCACATTTAGAAAAGTCTCGTTATTATTTTCGCGGTGCAGTATCGTTGTCTAGCCTATTTTAAAACCATTTAGCTTTTTAGACCATGGATTTCTAGAAATGGTGAACACTGTGGTTTTTAAACTTTCATTTTCAAGGATGGTTATTTGCACACAGCCCCCGGTTCATATAAGAATTTTAGATTCCGAGCGTATTTATTGTTGTAAAGCTCGATAGTCTTCTTATTATACCACTATTCTTCTAACCCGTTTTTTCAGTAATAAATTGTTATTAGTCAAGTTTTATCATTTCAAACTCGCTGTTCTTTTTTATACGGTTCTGTTATACAGCAGCGTTACGCATCCAACATCCCACCGTCCACAACCCACCCACAAATTGTGGTCGAGGCACAGGCTTAAAATAATAGTCTTCGCCACGGCACTGCAGAGCGTTCCTACCATCATAGATCATACAATAGGCATTATATAGCTGTTAATTGTCTACGGCGTGTGCGGAAATCTAGACCCACAACAGAAATAAAAAATAAAACAAAACAATATATTTTTAATCGTGTGCATCGAGTGTTAAACAGTATGTTCACAGGTATAATATATTATATTATTATATAGACGGACAGTGCAGTTTAACGATCGTGTACACCATATTATAACTACGTCGTTTTGTACGCGGCGGAGAACACCGCCGGATTCAAAAAAACCGTTTCGGTCGACCGCTCCGGTTCTCAGTTTCGGGTGTCAAACGCCGACACGGCGACATGGCGCGGCGGTCCAACAGAAATTCAAAGAGAGAGAGAGAGAGTGATAAAGAGTGAGACAGAGCGAGGGAGAAAGATACAAGGAGATTAAATAAACGTATACATAATTTATAGATTTGTGTACGTATATAAAACGCGACGTATTGTATTTAGAGTAAGTATATATACGTACTACGGCGCAGTCCAAACAATGCAATTAATTGTTATGATCGGTTTCGTGTACGCGCACGGGCAATTTGACAGCTTTTGACCCGTACGGGTCGTCGTCGTCGACGGCGGCATCAGACTCTCTCGTTCTTTTCCTTTTTTTTTTTCCTCCGCCCTCCTATTCCTTCGTGTTTTTATTTTATTGCCTGCAGTCTGAGCACGTTTTACCTCTTTGGTATTGTTATCACACACACGCGCTCATATTATACACAAGTACGTTGCAACCGGTACCACCGTGGTACCTATATAGTATATATATATATATATATAATATAATATTATTATTATAGGTAATATATATTATGTTTTAAAACGAATTAACACACTGCGCATTCGTGTAAACAATAAAATAATCATGGGTGTTTTTTTCAATCCTCCCGACGCACAATAATTTATATTACACGCGCCGAGAAACAAACGGTTTTTTTTTTTTTTAACAAGATGCAGAGCTGCAATAATAACAAATATCGCCTCCGCAAACACATATGATATGGTTTGTAGAAAACAGTACCATTCATACTTTCGGATTTACTATAATATGTTAAGCGTATAGGTTTTGTCGTATCCTGATCTGAAATGGTTATTTTCGGAGATCGGTTTGAAAGTGGGCTTTGATACCCGAATGACGCGCTGTTTCCGTCTTACAAACGTACGACGAGACATATAAAATTTACGTTCTGCAGGACCAATTTTGTCGGTTTAAACACTATGGAGCATATTGTACTAATATCAAACTGTTAAAGATAAGAACAATATCTGTGCAACCGTATATGTATTTTCATTTTCAAGCGAGATAATTTAAGCGTTGACAAATTAAGACAACTCGCATATACTCGTACCTCGCTTTAAAATTAAAATATCGACAAAAAACCTACATGGTTGCACAAACAATGTTCTCTTACCATTAAGCATGATGATAAAGCAAGATAAAGCATAATTGACTCCAATATTAAAACTAATAGGACAGAGTGGTCCATGCCGAACAAAAATTTGCTGTCGTATACGTTATCTATGACGGAGACAGCACACGTGCGGGTATCACGTCCTCTTTATCGTTCGTGTTTCGAACAGATGAGTAGGTATTATAAAATATCTTAGGTGCACCGGACACGATTATTAGTTAGGTATATATATATATATGTGTGTGTATACCTAATATGTTATAATATAAATCGGCGGCCGGTCTCCTCGCCGAATCGTTTTGACCGCGCATTGTTCTCTCGTACGTGACTTTGGATTGATTTTCACGCCGACGACGAATAAAAAGGTGTGAAAATCACCGCGTGAGAAGCAGAAAAAAAATAAATAATAATAATACCGAGCCGACAGACAGAACCGTTGGCGCCGGCGCCGGGCCGTCCGCAGTTAAATCCAATGATACCGTGTTATCGTCACGAAATCACGATGAGCCGACGACAAGCTGCACGTGCACGGAGACGATATTTCAAAGAAATGGTACATAAAAAGTAAACTCTTTTTTTTTTTTTTGAGTTATAATACTCATCGTATTGAAATAAACAATAATATTGTACACCGCACGACGGATCAAAATTTCGTTCGCTTTCACACGATATGTTAAACAACCTAATAATACTGCGCACTGCAATAACAATGCGTTTTTTTTCGGGCGGGGGTGGTTGTCGTACAATATTTTATTTTTTTTTTGTTTATAATATGTAATAGTATGCGCTTAACAGAAAAAAAAAACACGTATGACATTCGATCGGACAATAGCACACGTTTTAAACGTGTTTACGTGCATGTTGTTTGCCCACGAATTACGCCACACGTAGGGAGGGAATGGGTTGTTTTTTTTTCTTTTACGAGCATCATCACTATACTCATTTCGACTATTATTAGTACCTATATATCATAAGGGACTATAATAAGAAATAGCACTGTGGAGCACATCACTACGAGCACCTAATAAAAGAAATAATAAAAAAAAAAAATGTAAATCAGAAACGACGTGTCAAACTGGGTTATATTATTACCTACATAATATAGTGGCGATGAAATCCGTTAATGAAATTCTGATGTAGGGATTAACATAAGCCTAGGATCCGATGTGCAGTGTATATAGGTAATTGGAAACCGACGAAAAATAAGTTAACGTCACTAGGTGTAGTAGGTACACAAACACGAGGAGCGAGAGAGGAACCAAAAAAAAAAACCCACCAAACGTCTATTTAGCTCGCTGATGCAAAAGGTGATGTTTTGATATGAATTCGGGTATAATTTGTTTAATCCGAGAAATGTGTATATAATTTGAGTAGGTGAGAAAATAATATTTAATATATACAATATACATACACATAAATTCCGCAAAAAAACACTCTAATAATTTACGAAAAAAAAAAAAAATTATAATATTTAATTTGTGGTTTTACGTAACACCGCGGATAAAAATATCTTCTGTTTTCGTCTCAAATTTCGGACAATATTGTATAATATTATACATATATATAACACCTGTATAATACTTGTAAAGTTAAAACACGTTTATCCAGAGAAAAAATATTCCACATAAAATTATCAGTAGAAATAAAAACGATATATATATATTTCATAAAAATAATACAATAGAAAATTCTCGAATATGATAGTATCAATCTGTATTGTGCAGATAATACGAGCATTTTTTTCCAAATCGATAAAATAAAAATAAAATTCTTAATAGTTAATATTACAATGACGTAGTATGGATTATTTTTCGACGTATTATAATATTTTGTTTAATTCCAGTCTTGGGCAATAGTTACGTTTCAATGAATTAATAGGAACAATTTATTACTGATATTGAATATTACTATTTCATAATTATTGCACAATTTCTCGTCATTCTCTCGCGCCATTCAAATATTTGTGCAGTTCTTATCGTTTTTGATTGATTTTTTTTTTTCAATCAAAACCAAAATCACAATAACTATATAAATAATATAATATCACGAAGCCGTTTGCTTTATATTGAAAATAATTTTTTTTCAATCAGATTTAACATTGAATAATATATTTAAATTGTGCTAAGATTAAAAAAAAAGGCCATCAAACCTCCATCCTCCGTCTATACGGCCCTTCTGGATGTAACTCCAACTCTCTTCCGTACGCCACTGTGTGGAACGTTTCAAATTCCATTGGATCGTGTGATTTTCGATACTAAACCTTATATATGGATCATGTAAGCTTTGATACTGAACTTTATTTAATCCCTGTCGATAATCACTTGATTCGTAATAACGCAGTATTATTAGAGTCAAAACTCACATACTCCAAAATTCAACGTCAAAAAAAATAAAATGTATAGATAACGACTGAAATCTTAGTTTTTATAATGGCAGTTTTGAGTTTTCAATGTAAATTGTGTAAGCAAAATGTATTTTGAATTTCTTCATTGTACAGGAAATCCTTTTTTTAGTTTTATTTTTTTGAAAAATACGCAAGTTTTGCTTTTAACCTACTCAATGTTCTCAAACGTATCAATACCCGATAAAACGGAATAGCGTTTAAAGACCTGTTTCAATTTATTTGCTTTCCCGTTCCAATGATGTGAAATACGTAAAAGGTAACGTAAAGTTACACGACCGGCGTAATTGAAATTCTCACGTCGGCCGCCGCCGCTGCGTATATAATGCGAGAGTTTTACCCGTGCATTTTTAATTACCCTCGCGGTCTCCGAAAGACTATAAAAAAAAAAATATTACAACTACACGGCCGTATAATAATATTATATTATGCATTTACAACTCCCGGCGGCGGCGTTTATATGGTGTACGCATGTTTATAAATATATAATTGATAGTGTTGACACGAGCGCGCGCAGCTAATATAGAGAATCCAGTTGACATTACTCACACACACATACACGCGCGCGCGCGAGCGCGCACACGCATACCACACCCGGCGGTACGTGCGGACGAGAGGACGAGTACTCGATACATATATCTATGTATGTGTATATATAGTGTATAATATGACGGCGACGATGGTGATGCAGGTGAAAAAAGATGGAAAAAAAAAAAAAATAATAATAATAAACCGAAAAAACAACAACATACGCGTATACCTACTTAATACTTCTTATATACATGTACACGACGGACAACAAGTAACAACAACAACGGTCTTTCGTGACGGATCTGTTGGGGAATTAATAAAAAGTGTTTTATGGCTGTTTAAATGTCATGTAGCCGCAGCGTGCGAGCGTGCGCGCTCGCGTGTGTGTGCGTGTACGGTATAGTATGGTATGGTATGGTTATGGTATAGGTAGGTAACCCCGGTAAACTGGTCTCACTCTCCCCCGATCCGATCCGATCGCCGTCGCGGAGAACCGCGGCGGAATGCGTATTTAATAGCGCGTTTTAACTTATGCTGTCTGTGTGTCCGACGACGACGACGACTACGACGACAATTAGAATTCCGAGTCTGACAAAATGAACTGCTGGTGTGTTTTTTACAAGTTGTTACATGGTCGACCTGTGTGGGTTTTTTACCGGGTCCTCCTCCCTCTCTACCCCTCCCCCCCTAACCACCTCTATATTATATACCTATAATATTATGCTCTCCTCGCGTGTTTGTCCGCTGCCGTAGCTGCCGCCGCCACCGCCGCCGCAGTCTCATGCCCCATTCACCGCGGCTTTGATTTATTTACTGTTTAGATGGCCATCTCCCTAATGTGCGCGCGTCCGATGCTGTCGATATTTATATACGTATACATATATATATATATATACATACGTGTAGGGGAGAAGAACAACGAACTGTGCCCGAGAGAATGCCTATACGTAGAACAATATTAAACCTACATAGGTAATAATATATAGTTTGAAAAAAAAAAAAAACGTAAAAAGAAAAAAAACATACACACGAGGGAAGGCGACCACGACCACGATCGCTTTCTCATTACCATAATAACCAGTCCAATAAGAGAACAATAGTTTGTATACTATATATATTATTGTACATACTTAAAGAACGTTTTGTTTAGCCGTTGCTATCCCCCTCCCTTGTTTCTACTGTATTATAAACATAATACACCTTTAAATAGGTACCATTTTTACCTTTTTTTTTTTTTTTTTTCGTTTTTTTTTTATTATTATTTATTCGACTTGCGGCGACGGTATCAATGCGCGACTTCCAAGTCATTAATCTTATTCGGAATATTTGGCGCGGGCGCCTCTGAACGCACGGTCGCGGCGTTACGACGATACGCGCGTACTGTGTGTTTGAGCCCACACAGTAGCTCATAATAACATACACGGACGTTAATCCTCTCCGTGAACGACTACACCATTCATAACCATTATTACACTTATAATGTACGTCGTAAATTTTTATTAAAGTCATTTATTTATTTATTTATATTGCGCGGTAAACGCAAGTACCGCTGATATATCGGTAGACGATTTACCGCGACGTTATTCATAATCTGTGTGCGTGTGTATGGTTTTATTCATTTTTTTAGCCGCCGTATAAGACGTGTAGTTTTATTTGAAAAGGAAAATGTCCATTTCAAATTTATTATACTACTACTATTACTACAGTGTATTAATATAGTATATTTACGATCCGATCGATTTATATTATGTCCCCTAAAAGTACCTACAGCGAATACGAGAAAAACAAAATATCCGGTCAGTGTGGCGAACTTCAATATTTTCGAGAGGCGGAAATATTTTGGTGGATTGCCTACCCACTCATCCCACCTTACTCCCACTTTAATTCCTTGATTATTTTTTTTAAACCATGGATGCAAATAAGGATCTTAAGCCTCGTTACCTTACCAAATCCATTCACTAATAGCTTCTCAACAATTTGTAAAAAACATTTCACTATCTCTGCCTAAATGGTTTATCATAGTTTCATCATAAATAGGTTCTTTCAAACAGCGTGTGAGCGGATTAAACCATAAACATTGAACAGTGCTAATAAACACATACTATTATTTGTTAGTATTTATTAATAATCAATAATATTACGGTTTATAATAATTTTTAAAAATTAAAAATCTCACTCCTAAATCTTTGAATAACCGAGAGAATTGCTTCTCAAAAAAGCGTTCGTAACAACACTGATTTATATTATTCCAGTGGTACATACTTAAAATTAAATTGGATTTAGTAAGTTAAATGTCTAGCTGGTATACCACCCATATATCGAATCACTCAGAATTACACTAAATTAGTACCACCAACATCAATCTAAAATACTGGGGTAGCAGCTGCTACCACAGAACTCTCTAGTGTGTGCTACTGAAAATATCCGTTATTAAGTTTATCGTTACTATTAGTAAAATATCTAACAAAAATTGCCATCACTTACAGTTACTGATCAAGTTGGCCATTGTAGAATACAATTTACAGAAAACAATTTCTGGGGGGAGAGGTTCATAAGTAAAAATATTAAACATTTAAAACTATAAAACTATAGTATATAATGTGAATTAAGGTTTTAAAATTTTGAAGAGGGGGAAGGGTACAAAATCCCTACATGTGCTTAATACAGGTAATTGCATTTTCGATTATTTTACAGTTTGAAAAAAATAATTTGTAATTTCGTGGACAACGTGTTGCCATTTTTTGATCATTAAATAAATAAATAATTGGACGTAAAGAGCATAATATATTGTATGTTTAACTCTGGATTACAATTACATTGTTCTGCCAATAATTTATATAGATAAGGATGCAACTACAGGGGAGGAGGAAGGGTAACTTATTAATCTGAAAATCTGTCCAAAAATTTATTTGAAAATCATAAGGAATAAGGGTAAAATGTTGAAAGATCGTTAAAAGATTCTATATCATGTCTGAAAAGAAACACTCATTCAAATGTACTCGAAATATTTGCGGACGCATAAACGCTGGTTCGTGATAAAAGAATCACTCTGTACAGTTTCTCAGAAAATCACTTTCACCTTCGTACCATTATTATTAAAGATACCTATATCAAACCTAACCCCGTGATTTGGTGGTGTCATGATAGAGCCTGGGAGAGGGATGAAGGAAAAACGAACACGAGAAGTCCGTATCGTGTGATGTTTTGCTGCGAAGGTAGTTAAAAACCGTAGCGTCGTTTTTATAATAATAATGAAGGTACCCGAAGGTCGCGTCGAACACATACGGTTTTATTAATGTTCCGTAGGAAATCGGAGCTGACCTTCTTAAAAACGCATTGTCACAACATTTTGGCAACAGCCAAGCCGACCAGCGGGTGGGACGGCAACGTAACGTTTCATTGTCCCGCGGACTATATGGTCAAACCGATACGATAATACGTATATAATACATACACACTGCATCACTGGGAACCGGAACGAAAGATGCGCACACCAAAAAGGCATACGTATATATTCCGTCGATTGTGTTACGGTTCGCCAAGTTTCGAAAATATTATTTTGCCCTTTTTTCTCGATTATATTATTAAATTTTGTATATACACATAATAATGTTACTACAATAACAATAATAATAATAATATTATTATTGTAGTATAAATCTAAATGGGTACATAAATTGCATTTCGATTCACTCCTCTCCTGATGCGCTAACCTTAAGCCGGGCGGCCCCCTTGGGGCGACGGATCGAATTTCGATTTCACGATCGACGTACCCGCGGGGAGAGGCGATTCAGTTGATTTACCCTGTATAATATACGTAAACGAACCGTTTCTGTATTGAATACGCGCGGCGAATGGTATAATATAATGTGTTTAAAATGTATTATTCATGATACCTGTACTAATTTTTTGTAAGAAAATAAAATAACTATCTTTGATCCCCTATAGGAAAGAGACGAAAAAATACAAATATTTTGTCGGAAGTAACTATTTTCAAGTGCCTCTATATATAAAAATCAATGGACGTACCTGTAATATTATATTGAATATAACAATACATTTTCAGTAGCTATACGTTTTTTTTTCTTTCGATATCTAACAGAGAACGACAAAAGATACGGAGACTACTATTTTAAGATTTATGGGTGTACGGCGATTGTGTTAAAATCATAATATAGGTATACATATATAGGTAACGGTATATTTCCCAAATTGTATTTGAATTATTAGTTTATGCGTTTTGACGCCCTTTTTGTCCATATTGTGTAGAGACCTACATAAAATGTATTTTATATTTGCCAATATAATAACAAAGAGTTGTTTTTCGCAATCGTAATTCAAACCGAGATCGTAACAATAAAACCAACCTCGGCATTCTTATAAAATATTACATACATGTATAATTACAGTCGCAACCGACCATCATCGTCATATTTTACGTAGTAATACTAAGTTAGTAAGCAGTAAGTAGTAAAGCGACGTAATCAAAAAATAATTTTTTTATCTGATAAAATTTAGAAACGTATGATATAATATTTAAATCTCAATTCCAATTTTAAAAAAAAAGTGTATAGCGATAAAAAATGTCAAACCATTGACTGTCGCCATATCCTCCTAGCTGTAACTACTTGTAACTCACTGTTGAATTTTCTCCGCCTCAGGCTAATCCTTGGATCCATAATTGACCTAAACATCCGTCTTCAAATTTTGTTTTTAAAAGTCTTTTTTCAACAATATTGTTGGTACTTCACAACCATTTGTTAGTGTAGACCTTATTATTTCCGCGTATATAGTCTTATTTTCGTTTGTTTTGATAAGTTTTGACTTGAACCACTTATATGATAGTAGTGTAAAAAAAGCTCTCTCAGTTTTTACTATCCTTGTCCCTATTTTATATGACCAATCATTTTGTATACTCAGTAGCAAACCAAGGTACTAAAACTCTTCGGCTTTCTCGTAGGTTTGGGTTTCTATATCAATCACCATTGTTCCATTCTTTAGCGGTTCTATCCACATAGTTTTTATCTGTATTTATTTGTTAACCTATTTATCTTGCTGTTCACTCCAGTGTAGGAGTTACTTTCGATGTATTTTCTAACAAACAATATTATATAATTATGATTTTACATAATCAATTACCATTCAATTTTTGTCGTTAAAACTTCATGAACGAAATTCAAATTCGCCGATTTCTACATACAATATATTGATGAAGTTCTTCGATAGTGGAAATGACCGCCTTAAGTACCTAAAAGGCTTAAACTCGTTTAGTAAACCACCTCGAGAATACGCCCCTATATAATAGCTAGATAATATATGTATGCACTTAACAATAATCATGTAACCTATTTGTTTGCACTTTTATATATTATCGCCACTTTGCAATGGGCAATGAAAAAAAAACCCAGATTTTTCGAATTTATCAGTATATTGTTGTTAACATTGAGATTATATTTCTTAACACTTCCAAAAAAAATTGGCCGAAAGAATCATTTAAATGATGAGGCTTACTAAACAAATTGTGGCGGTGGGATAAGGGATTGTTTGGAATGTTGCACAGCTTATGATCAAAGTAGTGGAAGAGAAAAATAGCATATTTAATACTGAACAAAACTTCAGTTTTGTTGTATGAATATTATACAGTATATAGGAGATGGAGGGTTTGAAAAAAAAGGTCGATACTGCTAATACGTGTACCACTGTTGATTTAAGAGGAAATTTCGTATAGAAGACATACAGAGTAATTAAATTTTTGTCTGTACGTAATGATAAACCGTTGTTAACGTAAAATAATTCTGAGCAGACTATTGTTAATCGTATGTTTTTCATTGTTGTCAACATTATCCAACAATTATACAAAAAATGCTATTAGTTTTTCCCATGTATTATTAAAACTACGAAGAAAATCAAAAAACGACCTTATTCGAATGCAATTAGATCAAAAATGCTACAAGAAAGTGTTTATAAAGTTTCTTATTGGAGCAATATTTCTGGTGGAAAATTTATTTAAAGACTTACAAAAAAAAAAAAAAATAAAAACATAGTAAAACCAATAAATTTCTCGCTTTCAATTTAAAGTATCAACAATCAGTATACAGCACCTAAACGAACGAGACGTTACGACGGCGTTTAGTCTACTGCAGTTCCTCGTCTTCATAGTGTTTTTTTTATAACTGTATTGTATTTTAATTTATGTTTATATTTCTTTAAAGTTTCTCTCGGACGATAATATTAAAACGAAATTAATATATTTTGGCTCAAATTATCGATTCCGTATTATGTATAATATATTTCTATATAATTGGATGGCACCAACATACACGATATATAGTAGATATAGAGGAATCTTTGACACGTATATCCGGGAGATTTCCGATATATATATATACGAATATAATATTATGGATAAAAAAAAAAAACAAGTTTTCCCAACATGTTATAATATTATGACGCGTATTATACGCAAGATCTACATCACCACGTAAATGCGTACCTATTTATATATACGTATAGGTACTGTGTATTACTGCAGCACACCACAATGTGTATACGCGTATCTACACGTATTATAGATACCTATATATTATTATGTACGTATTATAATAATATCGTGGATTGAATATTATTATTATTTTGACTGCGCGAGGTGTTTGACTCGTGACCGTCAAGATGGCGGTATCGATTTACCTCTATGCACACCCGCCCATGCCCGTTACTATAGGATACCCCCTGAAGGGAAACTCGCGAGTCGCTATATATACGACGACGATCGGTCTCTATGCATTTTTTATACATCTATATATATATAGGTATATAATAGCCGGTATCTGGTATATACCAGCCGTAGGTATATAATAACGTGTAACTACACGATACAGTCTCTCGCGCGCGCTAATATGCCGCGCGCACATCACGGGGCCCCGCTTTCTCGTGTATAATAATAATAATAATATGAAGAGTATAATATTATTATATATATACGTATAAAAAAGCGGCCGCCGATTGGAGAGGGGGTGGTAAAAAAAAAGAAAAAAAAGAAGAGGCAACCGGTTCTCTTCTCGGGCCGCGGTGTGGTTTTTTATTTATTTATTATTATTATTACTATATTTTTTTTTTTTTTTACGACTACACCGACTTCCAAGATCATCGATCCGCGTGCGTGCGCGTCCACGATTTATCGTGCAGTCGTTCCCACGCCCACGCCTGCGCGTTGTATACCGCGTGCGTACGCGACCAAACCGTACGACGGCTGCGGCCACCGCCGCAGCCGCCCAATATGGCCGGTGAAAGCGGCCGCGGCCGAGACGAGCATTTTGTGCGAGAGTGCGCTCGCGAACCGACGGTGGTCGTCCGGAGAAGCCGCAGAGAGTCGATCAAATATATTATATTAATTGCTTGTATGTATATCAATTACTTGCGTGTTTGTCGATTGACTTGCATACACAAGTAGGTACCTTTATCTCCAAATATTGGTGGTCCCCGGGGCCGATCCCGGGGGAAAAGGGATGAAGTCGATTTCGTATGTATAGTTTTCAAAAGGCGAGCGAATTAAATTTTTGAAAATACGCACACTTGTATTTGATATTTAGATGTTTACAATTATCGGGCTAGCCCAAAGATGACATAGTTGATAAACTCAACTAAATTCAATCTATACAATTAAATACGTACTGGCCGAATATAAAAGCTGAATTGGATGTGATTTAGACCAAACGATTTAAAAAAAATTCTAAACATTTACTGAAGCCCTTCTTCCCTGGGACCAAAGATTATATAGCTGAATTATACGGTATTTCCCGGACTCAATTCTTTTAAAAGCAAAAATAAATAAAACTTACTATACCCGACCGTGATAATTTATCATTTGAAAAGGATGCTTTCGTGTCTATGACTTCCAAATTAAATAAAAATAACTGTTTTTTTATTTTTCATGTTACCAAACTATCCCATAAATCAACAGAAAAAAATAAATCAATTTTCGTTCCAAAAATACCAAAAACCCCGTGTCGTCATCCTTTTAGAGGTCGAATTTCGAGACAAAAAATAGAGATTGACCTTCCTCTTGATTTAAATATTAAATTTACGAAGTTTCATAAAGAACTGAATAAAACTGTAGATTTATATGATGGATATACAGACTGACTTTTAGTTTTATATTTATTAGGTATAGATAGCCTTATATAATAAGTATGGTACTTGGATTTAAATGTCTTAAAAATTATGTAATATTATAAAAAAAAACAATGAAATTCGATACTGAAAGTCGGAATTCATTGTCTTGTTTAATACCAAACCCTAAAAATAAAAATAAAATGCGAGTCGCATATGTCAATATTATTATTGGTCCATGATGGTACTCTTACCTGTATGAAAATTAAATTTCTCGAGATAATATTTTGAATTGCCTAATATTACACGGAAAACTTTCTATTACAGCATAGTGCTAAAAATTAACGACTCAATACATAAGTATCTATAAAGTTTATTACGGGTTATTATTTTGTGGTAAAATCCATGGTTTTAACATGATCAAATCCTGGGCGATAACAATATAGTCTTTGGACAACGCAAAGTCTTTCGCGGATCGTGCAGATAGTTCCTAAACCAACCGATAACGTCCTGCGAAAAATTTCAATCGCTTGATTTTTAATATATTATATAAATTACCTATAAATACAGACCACAAATTATACACAGGACAATTAAAAGTTGTTAAAAAAAAAAAAAAAGTAGACGAAAAAAAAGAACTCAAGGTTCCCTCTATATTGTATCCCACTGTGCAATTCGTGTTGTTTATGTATATATTTCAATCTAGCAATATATTCATATAGGAACTCATGGTAGGTATAATACAAAATCATTATTTTGAACTCATACATTGTTGTACTTGTTTAATATTAAACAATCAAAATTATATATTAATTGTAAATGATGGCATTGTACGAGCAGTACTTATACATGCCAGTATTCTGTATAACATAATGACGTATAAAGATAAATTTTAAAATACCGTGATTAAGATAAGAGATATAATTGCTGGAATAATATTTTAGATAAAGATAAAAAATACTTATCAATTTAATTATCTTGACAAAGATAAACGCACAGGACATTTATTAAGAAGAAAAAAGATAATTTTGTTCATTAACTACAGCATAAAACGGAGTCAGTTCACCTAATAAAAGACATAACACTAAATTTGGTTGATACACGTTTAGATTTTGCGTAAAGATTATGTAATTAATATGTAACTCAATAATCAATTCATTTAACCATATTAATATTAATCAAATATTTTACCTAGTGCGATTAAAAAAGATGTACTTAGACGATTTAATTATTTATTTTATAGTTAACGGCTAAGATGCAGGTAACTTTTTTCCATTTGTCTAACTAAGATGTAAGATTAAAAAAAAAAAAACAATCTAGATAAAATATACTGTATATATTTTATAATAGAATTTAAAACATAATATTTAAATTGTTTTTTTTTTTTTTCATTTTTTCTTTAGTGATCGATAAATAGGTAAATTGCATTGGTTTTTAGGCAAATTTAAAATATTTCATTGAAAACTTACATTTATTATGAAGGACTTCTATAATATATTATGTAATATCGATTTACCATTTTTTTTTTTACAAAACGAATAAATTGAAAAAGTCACCGGCAAAAATATCGTATACACATATATATTACTAATATAATATAATACTTGTATAATATATTGAATTTAAGAACCGTGAGAAAGAGAGACAAGTCAATCACTATATAGATGCTGCTATTTATGGATTCTTCTCGGCTATACCGATATTTATATATTGCTGCGGTATTCGAATTCATTAAAAAAAAAAAATACATTTCATTAACACATTCTATTATATTATGTATACACAACATAATAAAATGCTGTTCCCCGTGAATTCGATTATGACGCGACCTATGAGGTATAAAACGAGAGGTCTAATGTATAATATTTTATCCGTTTTCATTCGCCGAATATATTATTATTATATATTTTTTTTTAGGGTATATTTTATTTCAATAGTCAATTTTTTCCCTCGGCTGCGGTCGTATAATAGATAATCATATTAACACCATCGTTCCGTAGTATAACTTTTAATTTTCTCCGATAACACTCTCATTATATATTATGATAATAATCTGTACTAAGTATATTATAACGTTATATACTAGAACCGGAGAAAAAGGAGAAAAAGGCACCCTAATACTTAATAGTCATGAACAAAATATTTTCAAACGTTGGGTGGAATATTTTATAATATTTTATTTTCTCGGGTTCAAACCTTTCAGAAACAGATATTAATGAAAGGAATTCAATTTAACGTGTATCCCCCGTTAATCGTTATTGTCCGCGGTTATTCGTCTTTTAAAAACTTCTACTTTCGTGTTTGTAGCGATCAAATTAAAGAATAACTGTTTTTTTTACCCGTGTTGCCAAGGTGATCCATATAACAACAACGAAAAAAAAATTAAATTTTCGTTCCAAAAGTATCAAAAATCCAGTATCAAGCAGTCTTTATAGAGGTTTCAAAGTTTCTTCGATATATCTGCATAAAATTGTAGATTTGTAAAGCGACCAGACAGACTGACTGACGTATACCCCCCAAAAATATTCCTCAAGACCCAAAACTTAACGTTCAAACTTTTCCTAACTATCCGTCCACCCACCGATCAAATAGTTCGTTACAAAATCTACGAATCCAATCGTGTACCGTTTATTTTCTATAGTTGAAATTGCTATTCGCCCCGGATTGACCGGGACAGTCCGGGTCATTCGGTTTGTCCCGGTTTGTAGAAGCTGAGAGTAAACTTATGAATTACGTTTGCTCGGAAGAAAAGAGAAGAATTAATGAAAATATAGTAAGATTAAGTTCATTAAATATCATGTCCCGTTTGGTGATTTCAAAATCAGATGACCCTATCTATAGTGGACACACAGAAAACAAAATCTTACTCTGCCGAGTGTCCAATGTAATCAGTGCCGGCGCTACGGGAGGACAAATGGGACACATGTCCGGGGCCCCGCGCTCGTTTTGGTTTTATTGGCCCCTGCGGTTTATTATTATATAGGAATACAATCATTAGTTACACTGTACTAAAGCATTGTCCAGGGCCCCGCGTAACCTAGCGCCACCACTGAATGTAATTGTCCGCTCGGACACAGAAAACCTCTTTAAAAATCGAATTGGTGTACGTATAGCAGTGCATTGCTTATTAACAGCATTCGATATCTCGGCGTGTATAGTGCATAAGATTATTCGTGAAAAACGAATAGAATATTGTGTAAATATTTCGAGTGCGCGTGAATGGCATGCCACAGTTGTTGTACCTATTATACGTACTCGTGATGTTATATTATACTACGATGAGTGGATGAGTATAACATAGGAAAGTATAGTGTTCATTGCTTATACACGGTTAAAACAAAAAAAAAACTAATGAAATATTTTTTTCTCAATGAAACCTGAAACCGCGCTGCATTTTTGTCTCTTGTGTAGAGTAGAGTTTGGATTTCCTTTCACGTCTACTCTACTCCGTATCATTATCATATTGCAATGCGTACACGCCAAAGTCAAGAATATTCTAACGGTATACGTGTGCCGGGATGACCGTGGTAAATTCAAATTTGACGAAATATATTATTATTTTGGACGGAGAATAAAAACAAAATTATAAAAATCTATACTCCAAAATCGTTTCGTTACACCTATCCCATTGATTATCGGACGGGAAATACGAACGATGTGAAACGCGTGTGCGCGCGACTTTAATATTTAATAATAATAATGCGGACGCGATACGGTATAGAGGGAGATCCGTATCTGCTGCAGCGATGCGCTATCTGTGCAGGTTGTCTGCAACCCCGTGTGCACTTGTGCGTGTATAGGTTTTAAACGCCGCGGACAGGAGAGACACGGGGGCCGCGTGCTGCGTCTAGACGCGTCCACAGGTGGTTAGGTCGTGGTGACGCATAAACGCCAATGCGGTACAGCGAAATAACGAGACCGGACAGCCGTGAACGCCGTCGTCGCCGGTGTGCGACCGCGACGACGAAGGATACCTGCATGCATATAATAGTATTATATACACGTACGCCCGTGTACGGACCGGCGGGTATGCCTGTATCGCGTACGCGCGTACGGTGTACGCGGCGACGAACGGAGACGGAACGAGGAACGTGTACGCAGGCACAGACAAATGAACAAACAACGCGTAATAACAATGTTATCGCGGGCCGCTTGTCGGTTCGCGTTGTTGACTAGACACAAACACGGGCACGAGCCCGAATATATTATATTTTTATTAAACGCGGTGGAAAAAAAAAAAAAACAAAAACAAAAAACAAATCAAATCCAATTAAACGCGCGCGCGGGACGAATATTGAAAAACCGGCCGTTTTTTTGTGCTGCCGGTTGCGAAAATTTCGATTATTTTTTCACCTAATTTTCGTTTCGAACAATAGACCGTTCTTATCTGCTCGCGCGCGGAGTTTGATAAGCGACGCGTATACATATATACGTGTGTATAATATTATAATATAACGGCATGCGTGCTTCTGCTAATAAAAAAAAAAAAAAAAAAAAAAAAAACAAAATATATCGTTTCAATAACAATGCGCGGTATGCCTTTCGACCTCAATTACTCGCCCCCGAGATCAAATTACACGTACGTGGTGTACTCGAGCATAATATCATTGTAATATACGTTTATAATGTACGACCTACATAGGCCGCATGGTATCACATTATTATTATGTAACGTATTGGGCATAGCGATGATGTCGCGTACCGTTTGATTTTTCGGTCCGAAAATCGCAAAATCTCGAACAGTTTTCGATCTATCGAATAGACCGGCCAGGTACGTCTACAAAAAAACAGTTCAAGGGGTTAGGGTTTTTAAGGTTGTACGCTATGCCATACTCTTGTTACAAAGAAATTTGCATGCTTACAGCTATTGTAGGATTATTTATTTTTCATTAATAATTTCGTTATTTTATAACTTTCCTTTTTAGCCTTTTAGGTTGGTACCTACCTATTGCTAAATTTTACATTAAATGTTTTTTTTTTAGTGAACGCAGCCTAAATGATAACGTAATTCGTATTATTGTGATGATAATCCGAACTATGCAATATCGCCGTATACAGTTATAATTTTCTAAAAGCAAAAAAAACTACAAATAATTGAAAATGACAATAATAGCAATATATACCTTATCTACTCGTATTGATAAATTTAAAAAAAATTAAAAAGATATATTTATTTTTCTCATTGACAGAAACCACTTTTGAAACTCTATTAAAAATTCTACTTTCGTCATAATTTTCATGAAATTTCGGGAGGTGGGTGGATGAAGGTTAAACCCCTAACCCCCCACCCTTATACACGTGTCTGAATAAACCGATAGCGACTGTTCGACGATGCTTGTCACTTATGAATAATCCCCACCTTTTGGACCGTTTTAAGTTTCGCGTAAACCGTTCAAGAAAAGTTCGATCCGTCCGTCAACGGGCGAATAAAACAAAACCTAAATCTTTTGGACGGAAAACAAAGTATTGTCTAGTCGAATTAAATAACGGACAAAACGAAATAAATTTTACAAATCTCGGAACGAATTTCAATCTGAAAAACTGACTGCAGTTTTTGAAACAATTATAAATACTATGAGAAAATCTTCGGGTATGTGCGATAAAAAAACCAAATAGAACAATTTCAATTTGAGCACTTTTAAATATACAAGTTTTAGTTATCATCAAATTGCAAGATGTCCAGTAGATCTTTGAAAACGCAATAAAAAAGAGGTTTATTAAAAATACTTCCGTATATATGAAGACGAATTCTTTACCGCAGAACTTGATAAATGAAAAAATTCCGACGTCCGACGTTTGCGAATTTTCCAAATATATTTACGAACACACCTACGTACTATTGTTTTACAAATTTAAACAATGCATATTTGTAAAAAGAAAAAAAACCGTATCACGCATCTGTCCATATATTTAAAATTATATTTTATTCATATGTTATGTTCACCTTTACACTACCGGTTTCGATTTAAACAAACATCGTCATTGCTGGCATATAATATGTATAGTGTATACGATTTTTTTTTTTTTATTTGTCTTGTATTTACCAATGGGAATTTATTTTATTTTATTTATTTTTTTTTCATTTCGCCCGAACGAATTATCGCCACCGGTCCGCGGCCGAGAACCAAAAAGTCGTTATTTATTATTCGACTTTGAAATCGACGACGACGACGGCGACTTAAGAGGCGACGACGGGCCAGACTGCCAGGCGTCGCGGTCGCCGACGACGAACGGAAAAAAAAAAAACCTCTCGTAATCTGGTTGTCGCGCGTATACACGAGTATTTATGATAATCATTTATACGTCATATTATTGTTAAATAGGTATACGTGTCGTTCGAACAATGTTTCGACCATCAGACTGCGAGGTACGTACGCCGGCCGTACACAATATAATATTATGGATACGCGGAATAATAATATAATATTGTGCGGTACAATTTAACGGGGGGAAATGAAAAAAAAAAAAAAAAAATTAATTCCTCGGTTAATATTATATCGGGTAATATCACACAGAGTGTAATAATACTACACGTCGTACACGCCTAATCTACAACCACCGCACCTTCGCCCAGAAATATTATCGTTACACATGTTATATTATACACGGTACGTATAACAATAATACGTATACAATTTCTCCGAGTATTTATCGTAAAATAATAATATAATACGTGTATGTGCATGCGTGTGTGTGTGTGTGTGTGTGTGTGTGTGTGTATATATTAGGTATTTTTTTAAAAATATTACCCATATATTATTATTATTATATTGCGCTTTCGTTGCTCGCTGCAGTCGGTGTAATAATTTCTTTATGGCACTCGACATACGCGCGGCCGCGGCCGCGTTATCGTTTCGGAAACGACAACGATTGCGTGCGACAGCCGTGGCGGCGGCGTAATGTTTTTTCATACTTACAGTTCTGTTGTCGTTACGACGATAACAAACGCCGTAATAACAATAAACGCAGTTAATATCGTATGTTGCGTTTTGGATCGTGGGCGGCCGCCTTCCCTTCGAGATTTTCCGCCGAAATAAAACGGCCAAAAGTTCGATTTCAAACATAACGCGCACTTAATTTTGTTTATTAAAACACGGTAGGGGCCTTCGGAGGATTTTGACCGCCCTCCGACCCACTCGCCCCGAATACTCAACCGAGCTCCCCGAAAAATATTAAGTCTTCGTCGAGTAAATACCAAGTATACACGCAATCAATATAACGGGGGTTAAACCCACCCCGCAACAAATATTTTGACTATTTGCGCCAATATGTTTTTCGTGTATACGTAAGGTTTGATTTCCAAGACCGTTACCTCCCCTGCCTAGAGGATCTGTGTACGCGTATTACATAGGTATTGTGTCATATATTGTTATTGAGAACCCACGAGTACCGACACGATGACGTATATTAGCGTCGGTTCCCGCGCTTAAAAAAAATGTTCAGTAGTCGATAGTAAATACGAAAAACGCAAGATCCAGTACAGACGTCCCAGCACAGTGGGAGAAATCGGACTTTTTTGTGGACAAACATTTTTTTGTCCTAATCGTTATAACCGTTATCAATAAAACTATCATCAAGAGCATTCCGGTTAGGTATTCTTAATATAATAAAATCGATCAGTATTTGTTTTGATTCTACTGAGCAAGGCTGCAAACTTTTCGTATTTTTATTTCTTAAGACTGTGTATAAATCTTGATTTTTTAAAATAAATTATCTAAATATTAACACAAATTATTTTAATATAGACAAAAATTGGCAAATAAAAATTATTAATTAATTTAAATAGTAATTTTATAAAGGTACAAATATGAAAATTAGCCCCCCACCTTTTTCCATCTTTTATGTAGAAACAACCATTAAAAGAATGAAATACTTTAATTTACCAATTATATACTATTAATTTTTTGTTATTTTATGTTAAAATATGCTATACAAATCTACAAATGTAAGAAATACAAATTAATTTTGCTTACTTTGTATATTGACAAGATTCATTTTAATAAAAAAAAATGTATTAGGTATTTGAAATACTTATACATTGAATTCCGGACATGTTGTACCTAATGTAACTATATACAAGTATTACGTGCGCATTACGTACAAGACCTTAGTACTTTTCGGATTTTTTGTCTGTACACGGACATTTGAAATGTTCAACCGGGTAACCGGTACATATTACGCGTATTATATTATTATAATATAAATTGAAACCGTATTACGAACAATACCTATAACTATTTATTCGGTATTTTACGCCGAAGAACCCCCGATGAGTCGTCTGCGCCGAGGACGAAGGATCCCGTTGACAAAAAGGGAATTCGGGTCAAGGCGATATTTGCTGCAGACGCTATTATAGCAGATAGCGGGTACGTCGCGAAGGTCAGGGTGAGTGCGACTGACTTTATACGGGGTATTTTCATGAACGAAATCATTATATCGTGTTGTGTGGGAACGAAAGAAACGAAAGGTAAAAAAAAAAAAATGAAAAATACTCTCGTACTTGTAATATATAATTAGTACAACCGTCCAGGAAGATACAATAAAGATTACACCTATGAGCATCATAAACAGATATGATAGGCGCGCGGCGACCGGAAGTCGTAAGATACTATACATACACTATGCGCACAACACAAAACTATTATTATTTAAACTATTACAAACGACAAGTGTTATTCGTTTCGTTTTACGTAATGTTTGTTTTCGAGGCGGTTAAAAGCGTTTTCTTTGACATTTTCTCCGAGGCGGCTTCAGATATTTTATTTGGGGTTCGAGTAGCATCAAATAATACCCGCCCAACTCTATCCCGCAAGTATCATATACGCTCCGTAAAAAAAAAAAATGTGTCTTTTAATCCGGGTACATAGGTGGGAACAATTAATTTTGGTTATAAAAAAAAAAAATACTCAAAAGTATAATGCATTCCGTGATCTAAGGTTAGGGACAACTATTTTACTGATTATAATAATTGATTATTCCTGATAATGGTCGGATAAAAACGATGTTTCTGCGGCCCATCAAAACGCTATTCAAGCCGCCTCTGCGATTTTCTCCGGAAGGCGAAATTAATTATTAATTATTTATTTTCGAACCGTTATCGTCGGAAGTCGGCAGACTTGTCATTGTTACTTGTAGTATTTCGTTATTTATTTGGCTTGACGTGAAAATCTAACAGATTGCTGTATAAAAATGTATGTATCGTACTTTGCATTGATTTCATAATATAAAATCCGCAAGTGATTTTGCTTATTTCGGTGGTTTTTTAAAATTTTTTTTTTTACTGATTTTCTTTTCTCCCCGCATATGATACGGCCCTGACGTAACAGAGGGATAACTCGGTATACTCGGAATAATATATAGGCATCACTATCCAATATACGCCTTCATTTTGAGCCCCAGGAATATACGCTATACATTAATGTCGACATTTAGATATAATTGATTTCGCACTTCGTGCCTTACCTGCGTCATCAGCCGGTCGGCGCCCGTTCCCTCGTCGTCTTTGAACTCGATGTCCGCGTTGTAGTTGGGCACCAGTTCCATGAACCTGGAGTCGTTGCGCTGGACCCGGCCCTCCAGCGGGCCGCTGGCCGTGATCGAATTCTCGCTCACGTTGGGCTCGTGTTGCTGAAATACTAGCGGCTTCATCTTGCGAGGGTTCCGGAACTTGGACGGCCCACGCAACGGGCCGCAGCCCTCCACGCTGCCGCCTCCACCGGCCACCGTCAATATGCACACCATCAGCGTCAATGTAAACCGCCACCGGTAACTGCTGGACGCCACCGCTGCAACAACGCCAACGCCGCCGCTGCCGCCGCCTTTCCTCATATCCGGCTGGCAGACACCGCATTACCGCGGCCTTTACTCATACGGCAATCGGTTGCTGTCATTCGCACGCGCATGGTGGAAAAAAAAAAGAAAAACAAAAAATTATAACAAATTACACACAGTCAATAGGTAATTTTTGCGGAAATGCGATTTAACGGACCCTCATCACCGAAATTTGTTTTCTCTGTCTGTCTTACGCGTAATCTTAATATCATACATAGCAATTTAGGCCTTACGAATTTCTACGATTGTGACTCACTGGTTAAATATGCAGGTTGAAATGACACAGAGACGCATCATACATTTTAAAAAGACCATTTACCATTATGACTGTGTAAAACCATAATGGTATCTTATGAACGGATTTTCAATATTTTCATTTTTCATCGTCATGACGTGTACTCATTTTAATTTAGCTTGATGTTTCTCTTAACCGTTAATAACTTATTGGGAAATGAAAATATATGTAAAAAAAAAAAAATCACTTGCAGAATCCATAGTAAATATTCGCTTTTATAAAATGTACGTTCGCTCTAAACTCAACCGGAAAGTCGCAACGCAGAAATGCGTATTGCTTTTGAGACCATAATATTTTGCGCGGGGACAAAAAAAACAAAATTTGTTGGCGACGACTCCTGCTCAATCGCATTTTTTTTTTTTTTTTTACTATAATATACCTATATTTTTTAGTTTAATCAACAATTTTCAATCGGAAATAACGTGTTCTTATAATATCACAATATTGTTATACTTACAAAAAAATAACTACGACCATAAAATTCGATGAGATATATCTACCTACGATTATTTTCAAGAATATAATATTACAAAAACAATAGTTTATGCTAATATGATTACGAGAAATGTTTAATGATCGGTTTAAATATTATATATACCTACAAACCTACCTACCTACCAATATAGTTTTTTTTTTTTTTTTATCTATATAATACAATATAACAGGTATTTTTTAAAATATTTGTTTTAACGCGATTGTGTCGTAATATATAATAAATATTTAATTTTTATGTCCCGCTTCGTTTCGAGTATAGTTTATAATATTATTACACTTTCCTTTGCATCAGCGACTATGTTTAAAAATATATGCATAGGTATTATAGGTGCCCAATAGCAGGCAACATCAAGACTGTTAAAAACGTAAATTTTTTCATAGTTTTTATTATAGTTTTTTTTTCTTTATAAAAACGTGGCATTAGGTATTCAGAAAAGCATCGTAAATTATAGTTTTTTTTTTTTTTACACTCTTATAGATATTAAAAATTGTACTAAAAACGTATAGGTATACGAGAAACAGTTAATGGAGAATATCGAACGTTTTACACTATATATATACGTACATAGTATAAGAGTATACAATATTACAATAAAAAAACACCGTATTTTAAACGGAATTTTAAACTTTTTAAATTATCAACATTTTTCGCTCGGGAAATTAAAAAAAAAAAGAGACTTGACACGTTTTTCTCGTCTTATAAATTTATTTGATTTTCTACAGCAACATTATTATAATACGTAATAAATATAATTCCTAAGTAGTATTAAGAACAATATTTAATTAGTAGGTATTTGAAATATTTTACCCATACTTTTTACGATAATACGTTTTGTAATGCATACATTTTTGATTTTTTAGTTAAGGTTTTTATTTTTTTCGTAATATGGTTAAAAATAATCGTAGAGATCTAAATGTTTCACAGAATACTTATATGAGTTTTTTTTATCTATTTTAGAGCTATCTTAAAGGCTTTATAAAATGTTGGGTTAAATGTGAATAAAATTGTTTTGGCCGTGCAGAAATGCTTGAAAATATTTAACACGAGGTTCATTATAGTAAGCTGTACTTAGTGATAAAAAAAAAAAGAAGTTGAGCGTAACGTATGTAATATATATATTATATATATAGTAATTATTTTTTTGTAAACGATTTTAAGTTAAAATCTTAATTAAAATCGACCGTATAAACCACAGCATTCCGCGTACTATTTCTGATTTATTTTAAATTTTCCTTATTAAAATAGTTATTCTTCCCATACGAATTATGATTAAAGTTATCAACTACTTACTTGAAAAAATAAATCGAGTTACGATGTTAATTACTGTTTTTATATTAGTATTTTAGAGAATTAATTAAGGTTTTTAATATCTTAATATCGGCGTAGATTAGTACACGTATAATTATTAATTGCATTTTTTATTTTTTTCATGTAAAATATGTCTATAATCTTTATATTCTACACGTGTGTCTGCAGTATAATATATATACATAATATAATATTATGTGTACGTACATATATATGAAATCAATACCAAAACTGTATAATATGTATGTATATTGTGTACCGTAGATATAAAATATTATAAAAATCTTTTTCTTTTTCTTTCGATTATGGAAAGACTTGTATTTTAAGATAAGATAATAATTGCCGGTGTATATAACACATAATTTGATCTTTTCGTCTGCTCGTGTTACCAAATAAAATATATTATAGTGAACCTATTAAAAAAAAATAATGGAAAAACTGAAAAAAATGAAAAAAAAAAAACACAAACGTTATTTCTTCGGGATAAATAATTCCGAACCGCGGGAGTGGTTTCCCGAACCACTCCTGCGGCGAAAGGTCGTCGTGTCTCCTTTGCCATCGACCCCGTTCAAAACAATATAATCGACTGGTATAATAGCATATTATTACTTAGTTTTTTGAGATTTTTGCGTTTTTTTTTCATCTACGTCAAATTAGCACCGGCAAAGTCTTGGTGAATTTTTTTTTTTATTTCTCTCTGGGGAAAAAAAATTGTATTGACTACAATACGTTTATCAGCGTTTGGCAAACTGAAATGACATACGACGATAATTCTACAATATTACGCTGCATCACTGCATACGCGATCGTTTATGAAATACGATTAGCAATATGATAATAATAATTGTCGTCGTTAATACATGATCCGTCATACAAGTATTATTATTAATGAACGTATATTATAATAATATAGAGATCAATAATAATATATTATGCTAATCAGCTGAAATATGTTTGTTATATTATACATTATTATCTCGATTAAAAACAAATTGACGACGAAAAAAATAATATTACATTATACGATAATACCGCGTATTATTAACAAAATAAAATTGTAAAAAAATGGTAAAAAACTATACGCATATTATAATTAATTACAGATAATATTATTATAAAGCTACTGTTTTGTTTCGTTAATCAATTGTAATACTATTATAATGAGTCATAATATTATTTATTAATATCATTTATTTTACTTGTGTTAAATTTACTTCGTATTATTATTACTATACTAGTAAATCGATCTCATATTAGTCAGATCGATATGCATTTAATTTTAGTGTACACCTATTACAGATATACTGTACTCCGAAGTCAAATGGGCAGTAAGATTTGACGACTGCGAAAATTTGAAAAGTATATTTATTTTTTTTTTATCCGAATATTCATTCTTTTTTTTTTAAGGCGCATTTTTTTGATCTTTAGGAAAAATTCCGTAATATATTTTATACGGTAAAACATATACGGTTTTTTAAAATATCGGAATAATACTAAGCGAAAAATCAGTACTGCACATATTATACTAAAGATTAAACAAAGTAGCTGATCACACTGTCTACTACATGATAATTTTGTTCGTATTAACTCACACACGATATTTTCGATATAAGAATTAAGAAAATAAGGTGGTTCATTAAAAAAATAATTACCATTAAAACTACCTATTATAATATGACATACTACCTTTTGACTATTATAAGAGAGCAGTGTACATTTAAATCGTATTTTAATAATATATTAAGGGTCCTGGATCGTGATTTTTTTTACTTTTTTTTAAAAATTTTGTTATATAATAATAATTATAAATATTTACAATAATTCGGATTTAATGGTTTTTTTCTTCTAACGGGCCTGCGCACGACTAGCAATATGTTTTTTTTTTCGTTCAAAACATCACAAGAAATATCTTTCACGCTTTGTATTTTCCTTTTCGTATTTTCCTGTCTGTCGGAAAGGGAAAAAAAATTTCCCACGAAGGAGCGTATTGGATTATGATTTTTGATTATTTAGGTAATCAAAAAGGGCAAAAAAATGAGTTTTTTAAAAAAAGAAGTAAAAATTGACCGTATTCAAATTTTAATAATGTTTGCATACAAATATATTACGTAATAATACTCGACACCGTTTATATAAATAGGAAAAATAATTGTACAGTCCGCGATTTAATATAGTTTACAATTCTGAGTTTGAATGTAATGTATTGCATATATTTATATACACACCACTTACCTTTTGAATGCCGATTGGAATTGTGCAAGTATCGACTTGGAAAGAAAAAAATAGTCCGGGTTATTGGCGCCGCACTATATAAACGTGTGTTCGGCTTTAGGATACGAGTCGTATATTAGTTACCACACATAGTTACACAATCTAAATATGAAAATATTAAATTTAAATTAAAAAAAAAAAAAAAAAAAAAGAATAAAAAAAAAAAACAATAACGATTAAAACGAACAGAGAACCGGTTAAAAATAATTTTTTCGTAAAAACACACGGAAAATCATTTAAAAATTAATTTCAAGAAAGAGAAAATAACGCACGAAATATAATAACGAATGTGTATCGTGACAGTTTTTCGAAGGTATTTATATTTTGTTGAAAAATTTTTATTTCAAACGGTATTATATATTAAATATACTTTTTAAAACCGATCTCCTTGTAAAAATGGACGAAAACTTCGAATTCGGTACACCGAAGTCGCGCCGAACCGATTCTGGTAACAAGGTCAACGAATTTGAACCAGACTCGGTGGTGTTGTGGTTGTGGGTGTGAGCCACGACCGTTCTCCCACCCCTGTACACGTAGCTCCGCCCCCCCTGTTTCGTGGCCGCCTCCGTGTATACTCGCCGCGGACCGTGCGGTGCCGTATAATACCTGTCCCATGTGCCGCCGACGCCGCCGCCGCCGCGGTCTGACGACCCGACTTGCGCTCTTGCGGAGACTTTTTTTGTTCTCTCCGGCGGAGAGATGACGAGGGGCCAAACGGCAACGCATACACGCCGATCCTGCGGGTTACCTGCGAGCATTATTATCACAAGCATTACAATGCGCCCGGAGAACATAATATAATAGTAGAATTGATAATAATAGCTCGTTTCCGATTCCGGATTAAATGCCGTACGCGTCGTATTTAGGTATTATATTATTATTTATCATATTATTATTATTACTATATATAAATATATAGCCAAAATACGGCGGCCTATCGAACGTTTTTTTTTTTTTTTCCACTTTTTTCGTCGTTCGATTATAATACCGATACACAAAGGAAAATGTGACGTGCCCAACGGCGAAATCACAATAATGTACGCGCCGCGTCTAATAATACAAAAACTGCGACAATACGTCTATTATACATTATATTATATATTAAACATTTTATAAAAAAAAAAATAATCTGACGCCGGATAGAATTTTTTTTTTGTGTGTGTGTGTGTGTATATACATTCTGAATTATTTCATTGTGATATTATGAAAACCCTTAGAAGAAAAAAAAAACTAGACTTTGGTTTTTTTTCTATGACATATATACGTGTATTACAGTGTATTATTATAATACAATAATAATAATACCTTACAGTGACTTATCCCTTTGTACAGTCCGTGGTGTCAAACGAAATTGTATATATTTCTGACGTTTCCTGTTGTACTACCTATTACAGGTGTACGCCGTTTTCATATGGAATATCATTCGACCTGTCAATGTATGTGACAAAATATGTGTTGACGGCTATATTATATTCTATTACAATCTGGTGCGTTTATCATATCGCCTAGGTATATATCAGATGCGCGTTGTAAGAAAATATCAAAGACCTCTAGACGTTTATACTTAATGCGCAATCCAAAATAATAAACACTCGAAATATGTTAGAGGTAAAACTGTAAAAGTAAAAAAAAAGAAAAAAATCAAATTACCGAAAAAACCAATTTAACTCTAAACAAGTATACCGCGGGTTCACGGATGGGTATAAAACGCCGAACTAAAATATTGTTATCTTGAATAATTATTATATACGCGTGTTATTCAAACAAAAAATAATAAAGTCAGTTTTGGTATACATTATACTAGGCATACACAAATGCTGTATAGTTCTATTTATTTAAAAATACAATTTGAACTATTTCCAGTTTTATTTTTTTTCAAATATAAGTAGGTAGATACCATCATATACAAATACACGTGCGTATATAATAATGATAATAATAATAGTATGTAGTGACGTGCGCCCGGGAATTTTCAACGGGTGGGAATGTAGCAATAATTCATAGATAAATCGCAGAATTTTTTTTCTCTGTCCAAATTGACTGTGTGAATGTAAAAGCCGGATTCAAAAAAGCCAATTTTGAATCAATAAATTAAGCTTTTCATTGGCTGTATCGACATTTCAAAATTAAATAACAAAATATAATTAATCATCGTAAGTTGTATTTTTCAGCCAAGATTATAAACGTTGTAAATTTAAATATCTCAATTATGTACCGTAGTTTAACCTACCTAAACATATATAAATGTTAAATCATCTCGTTTTATTCATTAGGATTTTTACACACATATAGGCAGGTACGTACGTTACATAAACTACGTATTACCTATTCATATATTTTTGTTTTTTATAAATTGTGTATATCACTTAATACAACACACACAAATACACAATATAATTGAATTAACTTTAATCCAAACGAGTAAAACTCAATAGAACTATCCAAAATTCGAACGCAAACAAAAATAATACTAAAAGGTATCATTATTATACATATTTTAGTATTATAAAACTATAACCACAATGTTAAAAAAATAAAGTGACTCGTAATAAAAAAATTGTCCATTTTAATTATCATAAAAACAAAAAACCATATACGTAAATTAATTTAATTGCTTTAAGTTTTTTTTTTAAAAAAAGTGATCATTAACTCATCAAATGGTTATAAATTAAACTTTGAAGATAATCACACGTTATATTTAAGTAAATAGTTGATATTTTGGTTATAATTCTAAAGTTTATATAACGGATTGAAAATATTACATTTTATAGCAAATTTAATTTTTAGTTTATTCCTCTAACATAAATTTTCCAATTTGAACTAAACAGCCTATAAAGAGGTAAATGTTGATCGTTGCCTTGCATGTGAGCAAAAGCTGACAGTTTACCCGAAAACATTGACGCATAGTAATAAAATTAACAATATTTAATGGTTCAAACAAGCAATCGTGTCGAACTGCATTTATATATACAGTAGACGCAAAAGGACAAAAACAATTAAAAATACGTCCTCACAATAATATAGCAGAAGCCATCATAATAGATTATTGCTTCAAAATATTATGTTTATAAGTTATTGTTATAGGTATAAAAAGGTATTTTTTTTATGAACCTGAATAAAATAAAATATAAACTTAAAAAGACGTCCTAGGATAATAGGGACGGACACAGCCACTGTTATAAAAATGTATTGTATCTGTAAGCAACGATAAACCTTTGAACCAAAAACGATTCTGAGAGGAGTTCAGTTGATAGTGATATTTTGTCAACAATATACATGTCATTTTATAGTAAAATAATTAAGTAGGCTTTATATATTTTCTTTAATAATATTTGTTTAATGTTGTTAATATTTTCCCAGTTTTCCTGCGTTTTTCCCGGTTTTTTACATTTGCTGAGAAAATTGAAAAATTATCTCCTTAAAGTACCACCCCCTCCGATTTCCTTTCAGAAAAGTTGCTACACTTAAAAATCTGAGCAAATCTTCTAGTAGAAAAATTGCGCACAGATAAAAAAAAATAAACATCTTTGTAAAACCACAAGCTTCTTCGCTCCAGTCAGAATCTAAAAGCAAAATGTTGATCTCGCAGTGTCCCCTATTCAAAACAAGTCGTATTACACCTACTTGTGCAATATTATTTACGATGAAGGGCAACTTCCAGAATAATATTATACATTTATTGTATAATATAGTGTTTTGAGATATTTTGTCCGGTTAAAATTATAATTTATATTATTTTCTTATCGTCATCTACAGTGTGTGCATTAAACGATGCGCAATATAAAAATGAAACGGATACCTAAACGTCTCTTAACCGTAATATGTATACCGGTTATAATATAACTATAGTCGTAAATGTCGTGAAGTCGATCGTCTTGTTCCATATACACATCGCTCCTACTATTATTATATACAAAGTACAATAAAATAATAGTTCGTAAAAAACAAAAAAAAATATATAAAAATATGAAGTTCAATTAAAAGAAAAATGATGTGACATTTATGGTTTGTAAAATGCTCAAGATTAATCTATTTGAGTATATTCTTAGAGTACAAGCGTTTGAATTTTTTTGGATGATTATTTATATTTACATAAAAATGTAATTACAATATGCAAATATATTGTAACGATTTTAATGTAATTTTTATGTAAAGTTACTATCAAGACTATAAATTATGTCTACAGTAATAATATTACTAATACTATATGTTGTATAGATATATTAGATACTGAATTATAACTAATGTTGTACATTTTTTGAATTTTTTTTTGAAATATCGTTATACTGCAGTATACGAATTTTTTTTCTAGAATTTACTGAGATATTCTCATGCTCAACAATGCTCAAAGAATAATCTTTTGGATAATATTATCAGTTTATTCTCGTGTCCAGAGAACATTACATGTATACTTTGTATAATTATAAGTCATAACTAATCGATGTGTACAGGACTGTTAAAAAAAAGTTACGTATAACATAAGCAGGTAGTTGAATTTTCTACGACAAACTCTTTCGTGATTTCAGTTTTAGGCGCATTACTCTGTAGTTTGTATATTACGGTTTTAGTTACTGTGCAATATCATAACTGCGTACAAATCGAATGATTACGCAAGTTAGTTATTCTACGCGATAAGGATTATTATTACTATTCTATTAAAATCTAAACAATAATTATTCTATTATCACATAACTAATCTATCACATATCTAATAACCACAAAATATCGTTTTCGTGAACCGTAATGACCAAAGTCTCATAGTTCTATTTTATCTTTTTATATAAATCAGCAAAATTCTAGGCGGATAAAGTTATTTAGTTACACAAATAAATGATTTAAATAAACCTATTTAAATTTTCATCAAACATGTAATATCGATTTCGTGGTAAAACATGTGCAAGTGTAAAAGATAAAAATAAGCAGAAAAAAAATATAGGGAAATGAGAAAAAAGAAACTGAGCAAATTAAAAACTTGGTAAATAATAATGTCAATGTATTTCCCGAGAAGTTTTTTTAGAAAGTACGAACTCGTCCTCTTATTGAGTTAAGCCTTTTTATATTTATTATTTTTGCTTTTTAATTATTTTTTGGGCAGGATATAATAACGTACAGAGTATACTTCGTACAAAACAAAACAAAAAAAAAAAACATGACGTAAAAAATAAACACCAAAAAACAGCGGCAATGTCTCGAACACGGACACGGCCGCATACCTAAGTATAATATTATAGGTACTGTACACGTATTGCGCGAGATACCGACTGGCGACACGGTTATGTGTGTCTATAATACGGTGAGAACTACGGAGATCGTACCCGTGGGATACCATTACCGCGGTCGCGGTATACACGTACAGGTGCTCGTCGCTAATGTTTCTACACCCTCTCCACATTTTATACCAACCTATGCGTATATATATATATATATAAATACAATATATTATATTATTATACGTATACGTATATTCGTGCGCGAGAAACGTTGGTTTCTTATATATTATACGTACCTACTCGGATAATATATTATTGCTCGGTGGCAGCATCTTCGTCGTCGACTTCTTTATACCGCGCCGCGGCTCGCGCGCGCTCTCCTTCCTCCTTCGGGCGGTACAGGTGTGCCGCCCGGTACCTCGTACCATTTGCCCATTGGAGGCTGGGCGTGGTCCAAAAAAAAAGTTGCTCATCATCATCATCGTCATCGTCATCATCACCGTCGTCGTCATCGTCACGATTATCATCGACTCCGCGTCGCAATCGCCACAGCTCCTCCGTCGCCACCGACCGGCGGGTCTCCTCTTCTTCTTCTTCTTCTTCTTCTTCCACCGCACACTCGTTTCAAAAGAAAACTACACGGATAATATTTCCTCCCACCCCCAGGTTTTTTTCTCGTTACACCGGAGCTAGAAAACAAATTACATTTTACTCCGTTTCCTCTCGGACCGCAATTTATGGGATTTCGATTGCGCGCGGTTGTTGCTGTTACGATGTTTTTACACTTACACGCACACGTAATATTTCACGAGGAGTGTGTGTGCATGTGCGTGTATGTAGAGAATTTTCGTACATAAGTATATCCGCATATTATATACGTATAATGTAAATATATGCATTATAATACACAGACGATAAGTTTAAATACACAATAAATCACATTTTTTTTTTTTTGTACCAGGAGTTTTGATTTGTGGACATTACCCGCATTATATAATATAATATGTTCGTGTAACTTCATACGTATACCAATATGTTTTAAATTTAAATATGATTTTATAAAGTTAGGTAGATACATATAAGTTTGTTATACAAATTATTGTTAAAAATGTTAAAAAAGAAAAATATACGAATCAAATGTTAATACGATAAAACAAAGAAAAATTACGTTAAATTATTAATTTATTATTTGGTTGGTAGGTATACTTATTTTATCCAAATATATAATATTTAATTCATATGATGATTTTAAATTTCAATATGCTTGTATGTGCAGAAAACATACAATTCGATACAAAAGATTACTACGTAAATTATGTATTGTGTGCTTTGTACATTTATTAATATAATGATAATTTATCGTTGTACATTTTGAAATCATACTTGTCGCGTAGAAATATTACAGTGTTTTAAAATAAATATGATTGCATTATATATAATATTATAAATTGGTTTAATCGTATATTACAAAGATATTAAACTGTATTTATAAAATTGCGTTTGAAGTTTATAGCACAGTTTGTAAAGCGTCTATATTCATATAGAATGTTATTCCGAAAATAGGAAATATTTTAATAACTTTGTATACTAATATTTCTTCATTAATTTATTAATTTCCTAATGAAACCTTAAAAGGCTTACGCCACTTTCGACTAGACACGCTGAAACTTAACCTAACCGCCGTGTTGGTTTCGTGTGTCGACCTAAATACACGAGTGTACGTACAAAGTACACGCTATAACACACACAATAATGTTGAGATTCAATTATCACTGTGGTATAGTCGGTCTGCATAATAATACTACGTATATACATATTATAATGGACCATTGAGGAATGCAGCAGGTGTAACATCACAGGACAAAATACAATTTTTGTCCGTTTGGCTTCCATACTGCGTAACTAATTTCAGTCGGGAATCGTAAATAGAAATACACGGATGAAAAGAAAAAAGATAAAAGAAAGGACGACGAAAAAAAAACCATAACCATATCCTGTATGATGTAGTCCTACATGACGGTTATGGAAAATCGCCGAACTGGATGTTTACATACAACAGTCAAATGTGTAAGTTATTGCTGAATTGGCTAGTGTAATTTAGAACAACAAAAGGTACACTAGCAATAAGTAAACACTTTATAAAATTTAAAAAAAACCGTAAACTATATAATGGGCATAACTGTATAAGATGATACGTATTTTTTGTCATTTTTTTGGTATTGTATTATGCTGTAGGTACTAAAGTCAGTGATGGAATTTGAAAAAAAATTAGGAAGACAAGAAAGGATAAAAAAAATGTACGTATACTTAAAGATTTAAACATGTCCATGTATAATGTTTGTTATGAAAGATAAGAACGGGTAAGGAAAAATACCTTTAAAAAAGAAAAGATAATCTGCACGTTCCCCCTCCCCCCCAATTTAAACTTTGGGTACAGTAGAAGAACTCGCGTATAAGAAAATTCATTATACACATATTATGTGATATGTTTTACACACAAAAATAGGCCCTGCATGAATTTCGATACATTTAAATATCGATTTTAAACTTTAATAATTGATTAAAAATATAGGTATCTACATTTTGGAAGTATTTAAATAAATATTATAGTAGTAGGTATGTAGTTATATATAGTGTACGCAATGACCAAACATTTTAGTCTTACGATTTATGCTTTCAAAAATTAAAGGTATACTGTAACAAACTTGCATGATAATAATTTTGCCATGACTAATTTTTGTGCGTAATACGGTACATTGTGTGAGACCCGAAATTATAGAGTATGTTATGACTAAAGATCAATTTTAAGCAATTATTCCAATACCTATTTAAAATTAAAAGCAAATTAAACTTTCCGATAACACTAATAACACTAATATAAAATACTTTATACAATTTGATGGTTATACTGTAAATTATATCTACTATCGATTGGTATCGATCTATGGAATTGATCATTTTTATACTTGTACGAATTCTAGTGCAATTTTTAAGATTTAGAAGAAGAATAATATTCAAAATAATTTTACTTAAATATATATATATATACGAGTATAAATTTATTTTATGCTAACAAATTAGTGTTGAAAACATGTGACATTTTACCCATACTTACTGCTTAATTAAGTTTAAGAGAAGTGTGGTAGTAAAAAGTGAGATAACTTATATATTGTATCTTGAGGCTTAGAAGTGATATGGGAACTTAGGCCCTTACGTGTTTGTGTCTGCTTACCATGCAAAAAAATATGTATAATACAAAAAATTTCGTATTCAAAATTTAAAAATAATTTACTATACGAGGTGTGGCTATTAAATAACGAGACTGGTTACGAAAAAGTGTTTTATTATAAAAGTTATTCTACATTCAAATGCTCCCCTTCAATATACTCCCCTTCCCTCGCTACACACCGTTTCATTCGTTTCTTCCATTGCTCGAGGCAGTGCTGGAAGTCTGTTTTGGTAAGACCATTCAGGAGTTCCGCCGATTTTTGTTTCACCTCTTCCATCGACTCAAGCCGGATTCCTTTTAAGGGAGACTTTATCTTCGGAAACAAGTAAAAGTCGCAGGGTGCCAAGTCGGGTGAGTAAGATGCGTGTTCGAGTACTGGAGTGCCTTAAACGGCCAAATAACGCTTCACGCTTTATCCTGGTGCAAGATCCACGACTTGTTTTTCCACAATATCGACCGTTTCTTACGAACTCATTCGCGCAATGTTGCCAAAACTGTCAAATAGTAATGTTGGTTCACAGTTTGACCCTCTGGAACCCATTCAGTCATCACGATGCCGTTGATATCGAAGAAAACGGTTTTGAATTTGGATTACGACTGAATTGGATTCCGGTGCACTCTCGACCTTCAGAAAATAATTTATGCCACTCAAAAACACGCGCCCGAGATAGGAAATCCTCACTATAGGCCTCTTTTAACAACTTATAGCACTCAGTTGGAGATTTTTTTAGTTTAACGAGAAAATTTTATGTTTATCCGTTGCTCATGTTTTTCGTCACACATAGTTTTCGGCACGAGAAAAAAACACGTTTATTTCAAACCACTACTGCACAAATACTATAATAGTGACGAAAACGTGTTTTGGTACATGCATAGATAAGATATCTAGATATCCAATGCATGACTCATTTTTTACTACCCATCTAGGGCGCCCTCTAGGTGAGCAGTCTCGTTATTTAATAGCCATACCTCGTATACTATTTTTTAATTCCTTTTTAAAAAAGTATTAAATATTATGTGTTCACTATTTGTGTACATATTTTGCATTCAAAATAAATTCTTGATGCCTATACATATGATAACAAATCAAAAATAATATTATCATAAAATTAGTAAATGTCACTTTCATTTTTCTTTTTTAGTAGGAAAATAATTTTTATTCTAAACTCTACTCAGAATTGATTTTTCTGGATTCAATGGTTTATCGTATATTTTAGTATTTAAACAAAATTGCTTTATATTTTTCACTTTCCCATTTATATTTCAGTCTATCTACACGTCAGTGTACAGTTTTTATGTGTGATAATGACCGTTTCAATTGTAAAATGAAATAATAATTTGTTAAATTTGGATTTAGTACTATACATTTTAATATCCGTATAACTTGTTTTGTTTAACGAGAATAAAACTATTAAAATGTAATATAGGTAAATTAGTTTACGTTATTAAGTAGTGGCAGTTACAGACAGGAGGCAGATCGCTCCTTCGTTAGCCCGCCAAAATACTGTTAGCTTGATTTTCATCATAAATATTTGAATTTTAAAAACTATTCCCACACCATTATCTTGTCTTGGATCCGTTCCTGAAGTCAAATATACAAACTTCGATTTAATTATTAAAAAAATATTAACACAATGTATTGGTAATAACTGTTTAGTAAATAACAAACTAATTTAATGTTTATTCTAAACACATTTTTCAAATATATGTGTTTTACTTATTGTTTATATTGGATAAATTGATTGTTAAAGCAGTTTCATCGCGTAAACGAGAAAAAACAAAATTATTTTGTTCCTTAAAATTATTTAAATTATAATTTTTAACAGTACATATTATGTCGGAATACTTATTGGTTGTTACCTACATAATAATTTAAAGAACTATTTATTAAACATATTAATATATTTTATTTTTTAACGTAAATCTATAATGCAGGAAGTCTTATTTAATTTACTTTTTTCTAAGTGAAATTAACATAAACAGTAAATACCATTAGTGTAGGTACTGTTTTAAATTTTAAACTTTAATTGGATCTAGTTAACACCTTCAGTATAATCGAGTTTACCTAGTAACGTTTAACGAAAATATTTTATAATATAAAGTACTAAATCATAATTTATATTATGTATATTATGGAATTTTTTTTAAAGAAATATAGTGTTAAAGCATGTAGTAGGTACGTACTAAATATCGATTTTTGAATAAAAATTAAAGCAATATATTTATCATCTTGTATGCATCTTTTATGTATAGAATTTATGTTTATCAACAATTTTAAATACCTAATGATTTATAGATAGGTAGATTCTGAGTGGTGCGAATGTATTGGTTTTATAATGATGTTTATTTTATTTTTTTATATGAACACTTTTTCTACCAGAAAGCTTACTCCAATTATCAAATACCTATAACACATTTTCTGAAAAGAAATGTTCTCATATTGGTACTTTAGGAAGGTAATTTTTTAAAATTAAAACGGATGTATTTTCCCGATTTGAAGAATAATATCTACAACAATATATAAAATCAGAATTAACATGGTTTATAAATACATAATTATTTTAGAAATTCTTGAGATACCTATCACTAAAATAATGATTTTAGTAGTTTCAATTATTACAATGGTAGTATCAATTTACATTTTTAAAAGTTATTCTTATATATGGTTCTTGTTACTATCTAGGTATTTATTATTAGTACAAATAGTATAATATTATGTTTTTAATTATTCCAATATTCACATTGAAATTTTTAATTATAAAATTAATATAATATACGCAATTCTTATCAATGAACAATGATTAAAAAAAAAACGTATTTAAGATAATTTAAAAATAAAATTTCATCTACTTAAAATTATCTGTAATTCTAATAAGAGCCGTATTTTATTTGCAAAATATTATTACAATAAGTAATAACTAATAATTAATATATAACATGATAGTATTTAATAAGTGATAATATATAATAAATAATCACATACGTTATTATAACATATTATTAAAACCATAATGTCCATATAACTGCAATACAATGGTTATTCGTCATTTATTATATTTATTTTATCATTAAAATGTTAATATTGACTATTATGATTGCTGATTTTGAAGTTAAATTAAAATTAACTATCTTTATAGTGTTTACGTTACTTTTTAAACATTTTAATAATTAAATAATTCTATGACAAAATATCATGAATGAACATTTTTGATAATTATTGAATGTGACGTGTTATTAAATTAATTTAGAATAATATTATTTCAATGTCGATTTACAATCAAATAATAGACATGCAACCATATAAAAGTTGTGCAACATTTCTATTAATATCATAGGCATAGCTTGAGGATTTTTTGAGGTAAGACTATGACCCTAACGATACTATTTACATACATATAATTATACATACTCGTAAATTCCACTGATTCACACGCCCTCTTAAAATTATTAGATTATTTAGAGATGAACGTAGAAGGGGGTTATGTGTTATGGTAGCCCACCTCTCTGAAATATAAAGTACTTAACAATTTATATAATTAAAGAAAAAAAACTGTATTCTACTAAATTTATAGCGATATTTGTTTAATTACGTCGATTATTTTATTGACTGATAAGTTATAACAGGGTATTTGAAATAATTATCCTATATTTTTTGTATTTCATGGCACTCATTAGAAAAAAGCTTACAACACTTAATATTTCTGATTTATGAACGATGTAGAATACGCCTTTGTATATATTTTTGCAAACTATTAAAAGAGTAATATGAAAACTTTTTCTAGCAGTAAATTTTAAGTAGGGGGCTATAGTCCTTTTAGTCTACCCCATTCTATGTGTATACAATTTATGTTTCTACTCTTCCGACAACGATTATACATATTATTATTTAACTAAAATATACTCGTATAGATGAAAAAAAAAATCACGTAAACTTTGAGTAAATTAATATTTGTTGAATAATTAATTATAATTACTAATACATGAACACTACTTCATAATTCATGAATGCATATTATAGAATATAGAATACTTTGTTATTTTTATCTATAGTGGAAATTGTATTTTACCATAATGTTCCGAATTTAATCTTCACTATTTATTTTTGATTGTAGAACATAATTTAAATTATGAATAATAATAATAAGTCAAAACAGACAAATTTTTTTTTTTATTATACTTTAATTTGAACACATTGAATTCTATAATATAAGGCAATAATTTATTAAATATGAATTATTTATTATCTTCACTCTATTCTTATATTATCTGCATTAGGCTGACCATCCAAACAAAATAATTTTTCATTCGCATATCTTCTGGGGTATAATGGTTCTTTGTTAGTGGCTTTCAGTATTCTATAACAGTGATCCTCAACCATTGGGTCATGACCCAATTTTAATTTGTGGATAAATTTTGATGGATCATCAAAAAATTAAAACGTTATTATAATATTTTTTTTTTTTAGGCTACCTGTAAAAAATAGTTTAAAAAATAATTAAAGAGACATTTTTGTACATTATTTTTTTTTGACAATAAAAAATGAATTCATAATTTTGAACTTTATTGGTTGACTTTCACGGAAACGATTAAATTGTATAAGTTGTTGACTCGCATATCTTTTGTTATTAACCATCAATATTGTGAACTTCATAAGATACATATTACTCGTTTAGTCATGTATATTACTTTAAAAATGAATGAAAGTTAATAGTTTCTCTTAGTTATGGTAATTGAAAATTTGTTTCCAAATGGTCCCATGAAAAATTGGGTAAATATCTTGGGTCACCAACAGACAAAGGTTGAGACACCGCTGTTCTATAATAATATGTTTATCAATAATATTATAACAATATTATTTGAACTATAATAACTTAACATGATCAAGTAAAATCATACGTAAGGGTAAACAAAATATTGAATGAACAAGATAAAATGTAGATATATAAGATACATAAAAAAAAATATAAAAGGTAGACAAATACATCGAGTTTAAAGTTATTATTTCAGATATCTAGGTATAAGATACAATTTCAATATCAATATTATAATATAATCCATTCATTGAATAAATGTGTGTACGTAACATGCATACGGTTTTTAAATGTCTGAGTCAAGTGGCTTAGTACTACGTTCAGTTTTAAACACTCAAAATGACTCCCACGTAAAATCCTGGTTATCTGAAGCTATACATACAAAAAACAACTATAACTGCATAGAAGCAATTATTTAAGCCAACAACGAACAGTCAACGAGCAAAGAAAAATCAATAATGGTCTGAAAGGAAAAATATGCTCTTCAACACACGTTTGTTTGTTATTTTCATAGACGTGCCTGGTGCGGTTAAACAACATGGAACTCGGGTATATACCTATAAATACCGTCATTTTTACCTTGATCCTAGGAATGATAAAAGTTACATATTCATAAATGATACAACTTCAAAATTATAAATCTAAGATTAAAATTTACGTCTGATAACTATTTTTAAAGTAAAGAAATTATACTTTTTTTTTTATCTATTACAACTTACGTATACACTATTATACCAATGAAGTGTAATAAAACACATACTGTTTCCCTGCACGAAAATTAACCCATTGCAATATCTCTTGAAATAATAAAAATAACCAAATTCTGTTTTTTTAAATAATATACATAGGGATATGGATTACATATTTATATTTGAATTAAATTTGTCTGTTTAAGTAAAAAATTAAAAAAAATACTTTCTACTTGATTATTTTTGAAATTTTTGAAAAACCATTTTTTAGAATTTATTTTTTTCAAAATTTTAAGTTTCAAATTTTATTTTTTATTAAATTCA